GTGTTAACCTCCAAGTATGTCTACATTAAACAAACTGATCATTACTCGTACCAATTTACAAAAACAAGGTTTTCCAGTCAATGGCATAAGTAAAACTTTATTGAAACTATGAATATGTTTCTCCTAACACGTTGCAATCTTAAATTTTAATGAAACTAAGAAATTAATATTTTCCATATTGGTATAGTCATTTTATATAGTATACTCTTTTGTGAATTGAGGCAAAACAAGTGGGCCTCACTCTTTTCTTACAAGTCCACTTAAAAAGGAATAACGGTGTGCTCCGAGATTCATCCTCCAAAGGAATGTATTCCCGGCTTTACGTACTGTAGACTTGTCATCTATCGTAGCCTAGAAGAAGTTTTGACAGCAAAAGAGTTGGTGATTGAGTAGAGAAGGTGAGAATCAGAGAAAAACCTTTCTAGTATATTTTTTTTTCGGTAGCCGTTAGGATCTTGAGTCTTCCAATTTGAATGCTATAGGTTTTTAGTTATTTTCGGATTTTTGTTTTTCTCTGAAAATGAGACGCTTAATAGTTTTTCATGATGATGATGAATTGTTTCTTTGGGTATATGTGATAATCATTGTTCTTGATAATCATCGTTCTTTATAATCTATGCTCTACCATCAACGTGTGATTTATAATCATTGATAGTGAATTAAAAAGTTACCAAGGATTGCCTATTTGATGTCCCCATCAACTCATAAGATGGAACTCAAGTTAAATACGGAGAATTCCTTGCACATAATTAAGGAAGCATAGATGAAGTTGTACATGGTACGTAAGTGAATAGGGGTATTCAATAAATCCCTATATATCATAGCAATTGAAAAATCAATAAAGACGATTCAAATAAACTCTAACTATGGGGAATCACGTAAGAATGACTCAAACTATGGAGTAATCATCATCACGTAGTGTCAAACACAATGTGTAGTCATAATGCTCCCACCACTTGAAAATCATTCAATCTTTATATCTATATGTCCATAGATACAACACCTCATGTAGATTCGCATGAAAATTTGGAAAAATCTAAGTGAGCACATCATCTATTCTGTCATCAATGCTGTTTTACAGTTGTGGGTCTACACATTCATGTGGAACATGAGAAGTAATGTAGGTGTTTCATTGTAGCCTTATGAATTTATGGATAGAAATTTTAGAATTATGGTGCAAAATCTTATGGTAATCTGGATCGTATATATAAAATTTGTTAACATTCTTTATTCATTTGAAATTTGGATACATCTCAAACAACATCATATCAACACCCTCCAATTGTTCATCGTTGAAATCAACACCCTAAGATAATATTTGATAAAGTAGTAGGTTTCGCAGTCTCACAATAGTATGACTCTTAATCATAGTTATACTCTTTTTTTCTTTTTTTCTTTTTTCACAAACTGATATTGATACTCAATTTTGTTTTTTGGTTGAAACATCGATATTGATACATATCATTCTTGATAATCAACACTCTTGATAACTATCGATCCACCATCAGACTACGATTTTATCCTTGTTGAGGGCCAAAAAATCCAAGGGTAGACCCAAATCTATTTCTAGCCCAGTACGACATCTAACTTGGGAAGAAACCCGACTTGGGTAAGCAAGAGTTCGTCATATGCGCTTGCACACGTGCCATGCCAAGCAAATATGCAACATGCCACGCAGAAAGGTCTTAACAAGCCCGTAAAATGTACTTGTTCTATGAACCCATGCTCATTATCCTATCAAGCGCCATTTTGGCCAGGCCATAGCCCTTACAAAACGGCAAAGCTCAAGAACAAGCACGCTAAATAACACGCCACGCCAAGTGGAAAATCCTTATTTTTGCATCAAGCCACGCGAATGCCTGGGGCTTGCTAAGCGGGTTGTGGTATGGATGATTACAAGTATTCACGAGGCCCATTGGTGGTACAAGGAGTGGAAGTTTTGGGCTACTTGGGAGCACCAAAACTCAAGCCCATTCCTTGAGCCCAAACATATGGGTAAGCATGAGAGAAAACCCAATAGCCCATTACCTTAAGAAAAGGCCCAAACATCTTTAAAAATATCCAATAGCCATAGCCCACAACACTTGGAAATATCCCACATCAGTCAAAATATCCAACACCTTGTCAAAACCAAGGCAAACCCACGTGAGCACAAGTTGCTCCCAGTACCTTGTCAAGATCAAGGCAAACCCATATGCACAGGCTGCTGGAAGTAAATCACCTTTTGACCAGCACCCTTACCCATTCTTTCCTCTACAAGCTTTGGTGGGAAAACAAGAAGGAAAAGTAAGAGGCGCCTCACCCAGATGGAGAAGTCCAACCGCATGAAAGTCTTGGAACCCCAAAAAGCTCTGCTCCTATGTACTAGGGTTGGGGAGATTTCACCAAAGAGGATTGAATGGAAGAAAGTGAGGAAAATTAGAGAAGAAGACTTGATAAAATTGGGGGCTTCCAACGCCTATAAATGGAGGCACCTACTACCCAACAAAAGGGGGGGACATCCAGGGAGAGCAAGCATACTCTCTCACTACTGGAACCCTCTAATTTCATGCTATGTTCTTCAATCTTTTTCCTGTCTCTCCCATAAAACACATCCAGGGACAGCAAGCATCCTCTCTCACTATTGGAATCCTCTAATTTCATGTTTTATTCTTCCATCTTCTTCCTCTCTCTCGCTCTCTCTCTCTCTCTCTCTCTCTCTCTCTCTCTCTCTCTCTCTCTCTCTCTCTCTCTCTCTCTCTCTCTCTCTCTCTTATAAACACTGTAGGGGCTTTTTCGTTCCCCCAGCTACTGCGGGCCTGGGCTACCGTAAAGAACCAAATGAGAGAAAATTGCCCCTGGGTCTGAGTTCAAGAATTAGGCCCCGAGAATGCTTCGAAATGATAGCTGAGCCTTAGGAAGCTCCTTGGTTACCTTCACCAGCAAAACTAACAGTCGCTTACAAATAAATTCTTAGCTTGGCATGAGAAACTTGTGGCATGGAAGCAAAGCAATCATGAGTTTAGCATTAAAGAGAGAGAGGGCTATGAGTTCCTATGAGAAACAGGGGTTCTAAGGAAATGGGGAATGGATTCTAAGTGGGTTTGTTGAAGAGAGAGAGAAGGATGAGGGTATATTGGGTGTGTTGAGTAGTTTCCTGCAGCTCGACGAAAACTCTGTCAAGCTTTGGAATAGTTTACCAAAAGGGAAAATTGGGAGAGATGGAAGGATGGGGCTCGAAAATTGCAGAGGTTTCTGAGGTGAGAGGTAAAGCTTGCTCTCTAGATGTGTGTTGCTTAGGATAAAGAAGAAAGAGATAGAAGGTGAGGCACTTGGCCTTGATGTTTCCAGCAGTTAGAGAATAAGCTTGCTCTATTGCTCTAGTTGAGTTTAATGGGTAGGAGGTACCTCATTTTATAGTCGTTGGAAGCTCTTCCTTCCCAAGAAACCCTAATGGGTTCTTTCCAATTTTGCCAAGTCTCCCCTTTCATTTCTCTTATCTCCTTTCGATCCATCCCATTTTGTGAAATTCTCCTCTACCCAATACATAAAGACCAGATTTTTTGGAATTTAGAAGTCTTCCTGTAGCCATTCCAGTGATGATTTCTTATTTTTGGCTGTCATCTCTCCTCCTTTCCTCCAATATTTCATGGCAAGATCTGATAAAGGAAGGAGATAGGTAACTTTGGCTAGTCTGAAGACTGCTTTTACTCCTGTGCACGCCAATATCCTCTAGTTTTTTGAGCGATCTGCCTTGAGGTTTGTTTTTGCCCATGTGCTGGAGCCTCCCAACAGTTCACTGACATAACACTTTGGCTTTCATCGTGGTTCACGTTTCCAGCTAAGTGCTGAAGACTATGGATATTTTCTTGGCTACTTGGGTTTTAGCTAAAGTGATTGGTTAGCCTACCAAGGGAATGGGCTTAAATGATGGGCTATTTTATTTATGGTGATGGGCTAATTTCCTAGGGTATTGGGCCTTTTTCTCTCTTTTATGTTTACCCACATATTTGGACTCAAGAAATAGGCTTGAGTTTTGGGGCTCCCAAGCAGCCCAAAACTTCCATTTCTTGGCTCATCAATGGGCCTTATAAAAGCTCGTTACCATCTATACCACAACTCACTCAGCAAGCCCTGGACATTTGTGTGGCTTGGGCCCACTCAAACTTGTAGTGTGGTTGGGTGAGAAATAATGATTTCCCGCTTGGTGTGGCATGCTTTTTATCAAGATGCTTGACGGGGTAATTAGCATGGGCTCATAGAGCTAGTGTATTTTACAATCTTTATCTCAATTCCTAGCATGACGGATTATTTATTTGGCATGGCATGTGGTCGTGGCTCGTGCAAGCATGAATGACGAACTTTCGCGTGCTCCAAATCGGGTCTTTTCTTAATAAGGCATTGCGCTAGGCCGGGAATTCATTTGGGCCAAACTGTGGATTTTTTGGGCCTCAACAAACATCACGTCTCACCTCCGGAACCCTTCAATTTCACGCTTTGTTCTTTCATCTTCTTTCTCTCTCCCTCATAAACACATCCAGAGAGAGCAAGCATCACCTCTTGCCTCTGGAACCCTTCGATTTCAAGCTATGTTCTTCCATTTCTTCCTCTTTTTTCTTCTGGCAAGCCACCTTAATCTTTCCCTCTCTTCCCTCAACAAATTCTCAAAAAACTCTCTCTCCCCTTGATTTGAACCTTTGTTTCTCATAGGAAATCCAAGCCTTCTCTCTCTTATGCTAAACTCACGAATGCTCAGCTCCCATGCCACAAGCTTCTTATGTCAAGCCAAAATATTTATCTATAAGCAACTGTTTGGTTTTGTTGGTGAAGGAAGCCAAGGTGTTTCCTAAGGCTCCACGAACCTTTTGAAGCACTCTTGGGGTATGATTCCTGAACTCAGACACAGGGGCAAATCCACCCATTCACTTTTTACAGCAGCCTAAGCCCATTCGTCAAGTTGCTGGAACAAAAAATCCCCCACAATCCCTAGAGCTTAAGAAGCCACTGTAGCTATCATCAAAATGATTAGGGTAAGATCTTTCACAACTTCCCAAAGAAATGTCTATCAAACATTACGAGGAAATAAAATAATATCACAATAGTACAAATCTATCGTCTTCTTCATTGTTTTTTCCTAATTAGTTCCAATACATAAAACTCAGAAGTTTACAAAACAAAACTTACTCAGAATTTAAATGAGGAAAAGAGAAATATACATTTGGAGGTGTGCTTCTCTAGTTCCACTGCAATTCAAATTTGTTGGGGTTTTATTTATTTTCTTTTATTGGGATTCATCTTTGGAGTTCATGTGCAGGTCATTAGAGGTGGCAGACGAGTTGAGGTCTCAATTTATGATCTTGTTGTTGGTGATGTTGTACCCCTTAACATCGGTGATCAAGTATGGATGTGTGTCAGTAAACTTTTGTTGTATATTTCACAATTGCATTTCAAATGAAAAATTTATTAATATTCTGATTCTTTCTTTAGGTCCCTGCTGGTGGCATTTTAATAATGGGTCACTCACTTGCGATAGATGAGTCAAGCATGACTAGAGATCACAACACTATGAGCCTTTATGCCTGTTATGTAGCCTTGTTTGAACATTGCCTTTTTATTTTCTGTAAATTATATTTTTATTGCAGGTTCGTAAGGACTCCAGGCAATCATTTCTGATGTCAAGCTGAAAAGTAGTAGATGGCTATGGTAGTATGCTGGTAAAGATTCAGATATCCCTCTTCTCCTTTTTCCATGCCTGCAACTATTTTCCCTTCTTTCCTCAAGTGCACTGTCTTAAAAGCTATAAAGTCATATCTAGGTTATTAAAGGCTGCTTAGGATATCATAGTTTCCGAGTACTACCCTACTTCTGTAGTATAAAAACACATAGCTGTAGCACATGTATTGCTGGTCAATTGTCTTTTGATCTTCGCATGATGTGTGGGTTATAGGGTTACTTATATATTTAGTTTCTGGTACTTTGTTTTTCTAGAGTCAGTCAAGAGCTTATCTGAATTTCTTGTCTGCTTGTTGATTCTTTGTTTTTGGAAGGCTTGATTTTATTTGCTGAACATGTAATGTTGAAATAAAACATTCAATTGTTTATTATTATTGTTTCTTCAGGTAACCAATGCTGGGATTAATACCAAATGGGAATTTCTCATGCCTAGTATTTCCAAAGATATTGGTGATGAAACCCTTTTGCAGGTCAGTTTTAATGAACTGTTATATTGAAAAAATTCTCTTCAATGAACTGGTGAAGAAAACCCCTTTGCATGACATGTTGTGCTGAACCACATATGACTATGAATAGGTGCGCTTAACTGGGGTGGCTAATATCATTTCTATTGTTGGACTCAAAGTAGCTGTTCATGTCATGGGTTTTCCATTGCTCAGGTAAATTCTGATCTTCACTAGTGACCCATTCTCTATGACATGATAGTTGATTTACAATTAAAAAAATATAATTTGTACAAATACTTAACTGGCCAAACAAAAAAAGCAAAAGGAACTACTTAGATTAAGGCCGGAGAGACTAACTAGGTACGAAGGCTATCTGGATGTGAAACCATGGGCTCTGCCACAACTATGTGTGGGTTATACAAGATATATATATATATATTCTCGAAAAAGTGACTTTGAAACAAACACATATCTCAAAAAAAAAAAAAAAAAAAAAAAAAAAAAAAAAAAAAAAAGCGAGCAAAAAGGAGCAGTCAGCAAAAAAAAAAAATAATAATATGATAAATTTTGCTCGCATTTTTGATTACTCGCGTTTTTTTTGAAAAATTAGGAAGTTCAAAGAACTCCTTTGCTAAGTGAAGCTTCAAACCAATGTTGGGATTAATACCAAATGGGGATTTCTCATGCCTAGTATTTCCGAAGATATTGGTGAAGAAACCCTTTTGCAGGTCAGTTTTAATGAATTGTTATATTGAAAAAATTCTCTTCAATGAACTGGTGAAGAAAACCCCTTTGCATGACATGTTGTGTTGAACCACATATGACTATGAATAGGTGCGCTTAACTGGGGTGGCTATTATCATTTCTATTGTTGGACTCAAAGTAGATGTTCATGTCATGGGTTTTTCATTGCTCAGGTAAATTCTGATCTTCACTAGTGACCTTTTCTCTATGACATGATAGTTGATTTACAATTAAAAAATATAATTTGTACAGATACTTAACTGGCCAAACAAAAAAAGCAAAAGGAACTGCTTAGATTAAGGCCGGAGAGACTAACTAGGTACTAAGGCTATCTGGATGTGAAACCATGGGCTCTGCTACAATTATGTGTCGGTTATACAGGATATATATATTCTTGAAAAAGTGACTTTGACACAAACACATATTCTAAAAGAAAAACGCGAGCAATAAAAATATGTGTACTAATTTGTGACTGCTCGCGTTTTTTACTGCTCGCATTTTTTACTGCTCGCGTTTTTGACTGCTCGCATTTTTTTTGAAAAATTAGGAAGTTAAAAGAACTCCTTTGCTAAGTGAAGCTTCAAACCAATGCTGGGATTAATACCAAATGGGGATTTCTCATGCCTAGTATTTCAAAAGATATTGGTGATGAAACCCTTTTGTAGGTCAGTTTTAATGAACTGTTATATTGAAAAAATTCTCTTCAATGAACTGGTGAAGAAAACCCCTTTGCATGACATGTTGTGCTAAACCACATATGACTATGAATAGGTGCGCTTAACTGGGGTGGCTAATATCATTTCTATTGTTGGACTCAAAGTAGTTGTTCATGTCATGGGTTTTCCATTGCTCAGGTAAATTCTGATCTTCACTAGTGACCCATTCTCTATGACATGATAGTTGATTTACAATTAAAAAATATAATTTGTACAGATACTTAACTGGCCAAACAAAAAAAGCAAAAGGAACTACTTAGATTAAGGCCGGAGAGACTAACTAGGTACGAAGGCTATCTGGATGTGAAACCATGGGCTTTGCCACAACTATGTGTGGGCTATACATGATATATATATATATATATATATATATATATTCTCGAAAAAGTGACTTTGAAACAAACACATATTCTCTATAAAAAAAAACGTGAGCAGTCAAAAATATGTGTACTAATTTGTGACTGCTCGCGTTTTTTTGAAAAATTAGGAAGTTCAAAGAACTCCTTTGCTAAGTGAAGCTTCAAACGATCATATGAATTTTTCTTCCAAAGAGAAGCATAGCAATCTTCTCTTTTGAGTACCGCATTCGAGATCTTATGGCAATTAAGACATGCAGAGGTTGCTATGCCGGCAAGGCCGGCTTCAATGATCACTACTTCTGCTTTCTCCATTTCCATGTTGGATTTCATTTTTGAGGTTTTCATTTTCTTAACTACTCTTTCTACTATTTTTAATTATTTTATTTTACTATTGTTTTACTTCTCTACCCTCATAAAAATAAAATCAGTGTGTTTTAATATTTTACTTCGCCAAGGATATTTTCGAGGTTATTGAAAATTTCACTTTTAGGGCTTCTGCCTTTATATATATTACCATGAGCCTCTCACGAAACCTTCAGATGAGGCTTTGCACCTACTAATTTGTGACTGCTCGCGTTTTTTTGAAAAATTAGGAAGTTCAATGAACTCCTTTGCTAAGTGAAGCTTCAAATGATCATGACTTTTTCTTCCAAAGAGAAGCATAGCAATCTTCTCTTTCAAGTACCACATTCGAGATCTTATGGCAATTAAGACATGCAGAAATTGCTATGCCAGCAAGGCCGGCACCTATGATCACTACTTTTGCTTTCTCCATTTCCATGTTGGATTTCATTTTTGATGTTTTAATTTTCTTAACTACTCTTTCTACTTTTTAAAATTATTTTATTTGACTATTGTTTTGCTTCTCTATCCTCATATAAATAAAATCAGTATGTTCTAATATTTTACTTCACCATGAGCCGCAACATCACTAAACCTTCAGGTGAGGCTTTGCACATTCTGATTTTAGGGTTTATACTATATCAAATATGGAAGCCTAAGCCTCCGTCGGGAAAAAGGCCGCCAGGAAGGAAGAAGCCATTAATTTTATGAGGCATTTGAAGGGGAGAGACTAACTTTGGAGATGCCATACATGGAGCCACTAAAATTGTTTCGACAGCAGTATGTCAATAACTACTAGGTTATTTGCAGTTAATACATGTGTCTGTCTACCTGGTTATTTACTGTAAATACGAAAGTGTGATTTTGACTACTAAGAAAATATTTTAGGTCGTCATTTTCGTGGTTGCTATTCCTGAAGGGCTTCCCTTAGCTATTATCTTGACGTAAGTGTGCTCGTTTTTTGGTGCCAGAACTATTTTTTTTATCTTTTCACCTGAGTAACCTAATCTCAATGAAAGAAAGAATAATATCTATTTCACTTGTGAACTTGATTTTTTCTTGTTGTAAAGCATATATTTATTGTTTGCATTCATCTTTCTACATTCCTCATTTCTTTTCCCTTTTATCCTTTGGCTATGTCACAAGCTTGCCTACTCGATGAGAAAAATGATGGCAAATAAGGCCTTGGTATGTGTAATTTTGTTCATTTTTATTCCTACATAGATTTTGTAGATCATGTACTTTGTGGTTAAGCATATAATTAAATGAGTACGATGGAATTATAAATGTAGGTACAAAGGTTATCTGCATGTGAAACCATGGGCTTTGCCACAACTACGTGTGAGTTATACAGGATATATATATTCTCGGAAAAGTGACTCTGAAACAAACACATATTCTCGAAAAAACGCGAGCAGTAAAAAATATGTGTACTAATTTGTGACTGCTCGCGTTTTTTTGAAAAATTAGGAAGTTCAAAGAACTCCTTTGCTAAGTGAAGCTTCAAACGATCATATGACTTTTTCTTCCAAAGAGAAGTATAGCAATCTTCTCCTTTGAGTACCACATTCGAGATCTTATGGCAATTAAGACATGCAGAAATTGCTATGCCGGCAAGGCCGGCACCTATGATCACTACTTCCGCTTTCTCCATTTTCGTGTTGGATTTCATTTTTGATGTTTTAATTTCTTAACAACTCTTTCTACTTTTTAAAATTATTTTATTTGACTATTGTTTTACTTCTCTATCCTCATATAAATAAAATCAGTGTGTTCTAATATTTTACTTCACCATGAGCCGCAGCATCACTAAACCTTCGGGTAAGGCTTTGCACCTTCTAATTTTAGGGTTTATACTATATCAAATATGGAAGTATTAGCCTCCGTCAGGAAAAAGGCTGCTAAGAAAAAGAAGCCATTAATTATATGAGGCATTTGAAGGGAACGTTATATGAGGAAGTTGAAAGAACTCATTTGCTAAGTGAAGCTTCAAACAATCATATGACTTTTTCTTCCAAAGAGAAGCATAGCTATCTTCTCTTTCGAGTACCGCATTCGAGATCTTATGGCAATTAAGATATGCAAAGGTTGCTATGCTGGTAGGGTTGGGACCCACAATCACTAACTCCCATTCCTCCATTTCCATGTTGGATTTCATTTTTGAGGTTTTGATTTTATGTGTATAAACAATTACATACTCACGTATTTAAACCCAGTAGTAAAACAAGGGCCACCTTAGCATAAAACTGATTACAACATGCCTAATAAAACATTGTCGTTATTTTGTAGGGCTAACGACAAAAGACACCCTTCAGGTTTAAGGTAGTTCTAAATGTGGACCACTTACACCCTTACGTTTTTAACATCGTCCAATTTCTTCATTTCTTTAAGTTGACTGTGTGGACACATATTAAATGCTGACATGGCACCTATGGGACCCACCTCAACAATTAACTGATCATTCCACGTACAAAATCCAAAGGGAATTTTGGGGTTGGAGAATTCAGGGTTTAGGGAATTCGGAATCGGGCCCAATTTAACCTAATCAGTCATCGTCAACCTCACATTTAACATAGGGCCATCTAAAACTCCATAGCTAAGAGCTAAGAGCTACGATTTGGAAGAAGTGAGCTGCCCAAAGGGTTTATTCGATTGTAGTGGCGTGTTAAGCTAGAAAACAAAGGGGAAATAGAGGAATATGCAATGGTGTGTTTGTGTGGTTAGAATGCGAGAGTTCGAACCTCTTGGACAATTTTGAATCCTCGGAGGCGATTCATTGTGTGTGCAAAGGTAAATAACTGAACTTGAGGCAAAATCTAAGATTTTGAATTATAGCATGTGCAAATATGAATTTACAGCGTGGGTTTTGTGCAAGGTAAAGGAGGTTGTGATTTCTAGGTCTGGTATGATGTGGAAATGTGTCAAGGTCTAAACTTGTGATTTCGAGCCTACTAAAATCGCGGGATAAGTTGGAGAATTCACTAGCAAAGGCAAGACGTAGAGAGAAGGTTCTTTGTGCAGTATTTGTGGTGTCGTGGATGCATATTGCAAGGTTCATATTTTGAGGGAATGGTGGATCAGATGGAGTGAAGTAGAAATTTTGGAATTGGCATAAAATGGGGTGTTTTAGGGATGTACTATGCTTTTCGTGTAATGTACTGTGCTTTTGGTTATGTAATGGGAATGAACATTTTGGCTATGTAATGGGCATTGGAATGTGAATGATTTAATCTGCATGCAATGTTATGTTTTGGTAATGCAATGATGTAATCAGACTTTTGATATGTACAAAATCAACATCTTCATTCCAACAACTTGTTTGTACATACAAATTCATTTCCACTTGCAACATATCAACAAAATAGGCCACAAAATAACATTGACAACCTTCCAAAATAACGGAACCTCTCTTTCAAAATAATAGAACCTGTCTTCCAAAATAACACAAGCTATCTTCCAAAATAAGGCATCTTGTCTTCCAAAATAACTTAACTAGCAAAAACTGTCTTGTGAATCCCAAATAACATAACCATCCAGCTAATACAAGTCTGTGATTTCAAAATAACAACAAAGACTCAAAATGACTAATGGCAAGACCGTCATCATTCATTGTTCAAGTCTGATACTCCCAGCATCATAAGTTGTTTCTTCAATACATAAGAATTTCCAATTGAAGCTTTAGTTGATGCATGAGGGGCAGATGTTGAGGATGGAGCAGTTGAATCACTTTGTGGTACATTTGAACTTCTTGCTGCAATGGTACCCTTTCTCTTCCATTTTCCTTTTTGCACAACTCTAGCAGACTTAGCTCGCCTTGTTCTTGTATTGGGACTAGCTTCACTTGTTTCAGAAATTTGCTGGGTTTAGGAAAAAAATGATATACAATTAGTTGCAAGATTTTATCTAGAAGCATAAAAGTAACAAGTGTTCATCCTCATATGTTTACCTCAGCTTTTCTCTTCTTGAATTTTGTTTTGGGGGGCAAATTCCTATGGAAAGTCCTTTTATTGTGGCCCTTTTCTTCCACGTTGGCCACACTTCAGTGAGTCTTGAACTTGTGAAACAACATTAGCCTTATAGAAAAGGCAAAGTTTCTATTAAACAACCATTTCCACACCCTTCCACCTAATACTTTGGCCTTTAAAGATAGACACTTTGGCCTTATTAAAGGTAGACATTGCCAACACATGCGAAACCTTATAAAAGAATTCTGCATAAGGACAATTCTGGAGAAGGACCACCTATATTCGACAACCCTTATAAAACAACAATAACCCTTCATTCTTTCATACTTCTCCCACTATTCGACAAGGACTATAAAACACACCATTCAAAGTACAATAACCCAAATGACCTCAAACCCATTCACCACAAATAACTGGTATAGCAAAAATTTAGAGAAACTTACCGTACAAGGGATGCACAGCACCTAGAGGCCTAAAATCCCAACTCATTTCTTCTCACTTCTTCCAAAACCGCAACGCCTAGATTTCTCTCTCTCCTCAATTATGGAGTTTTATGTTTTAGGTTAAAATTGAGGAGGTTGAGGACGACTTTTAGGGATTTTGGTTCCAATTCGATAAAGAATGGCTTTGGAACACATGCCAAATTGGGCACAATTTTTTTTTTTTTTTTTTTTTTTTTTTTTTTCAACCAACCAAAATACCCTTCGGATTTCATAGGTGGAATGGTCAGTCCACTGGTGTGGTGGGTCCCCACAGGTGCCATGTCAGCATTTAACGATTGACCACACGGTCAACTTAATAGATGGATGAAATTGGATGATGTTGAAAACGTAAGGATGTAAATTGATAAAATTGATACCCTGGAGTCCATATTGAGGACCATCCCAAACCTACAAGGTGTTGTTAGCCTTATTTCGTAACTAATTTGTTACAGTAGTGTTGTACGTAACAAATTCCTTTGTGGAGCTTAGATGTGGAGCCATGCATTTTTCAACATCTGTCAATTCAGTTGTAAGTAGTCACGCTATCCAAGGACACTGCTTCCCTCCTTTCCTAGAAGTAGGCCTCAAATCACATTTTGACACATACAAAAATAATTCATCAAAAACACCAAAATAAAAATCTCTACACACATATCAACCTGTGATTGGCAAGAAAGTAGGAGCTCTTACTTCTAGAGAAGGAGGCAAGTATTTTCTGCTGTGGAATGCCTTTCATGTTAATTAGACATTAATAAGAACATTTAAGAAATTATTATTGGCACTTTAAAAATGTCACTTCTTACTTCTCTAGGGTACTTTAAAAATGTTAATTAGACATTAATAAGAACGTTTCACATTAATAAGGTAGCCTTACTTATGTTATTTAATACATCAGTGAGCAATTAACGTTTTTAAACTTAGATTTTTCTTTTTCAAAACACGCTCATCATACCAATTTTATTTGTTTTTGTGGGCTGAATTTGTTCCTTAAAATTAGTACTTGAGATAATCACTGTTTTCCTTCAAGTTAGTTTGATTCGAGTTTGCATCCAATTACTATCATAAGGGAGTTTCGATATTTAGTTGATGTTGATGCCTAATTATTGGAATATTCAAGATCAGGTTACTTTTTCTAATACAGGGAAACTACCAAAGGAAGAATCTAACGGTGTGTCCTCTGAAGACGAAATGGTTTATAAAGAGCCATCCATGTATGATAAATTGTTAATGACGCTAGGGTCATCTAGTAAATCTGTTGCTACTGCATCTAAACAAAGGTAACACTCTTCTCAAAGTCTTGATTTCAATTTCAGTCTGTTAGTGTGTACTTATTGTATGTAATTAGAAGAAATTTTGTAATTATGACTTTCTTTTAATGAATGGAAACTAGCCTTTTCGTTCCTAATCGGGATTATTTGTGTGTCCATTGTCCAATAACACTTTCTGGGTTTTCAATAACAGCTTCTGGGTTTTCAATAACAGCAGGTTCTGCACATGTGCTGCACATGAGAACTTAAAAGTAGTTCTCACTTTTGCTCTTGTGATTGCAGATGACCTGACTTTTTTCTTCAAGAAGCTATTATATAGAAAACACACATTCCAATGGACTCATATATGTTGAGATCAAATTAAAGTTGATTGCATAAAATTAATTTTTCATACTAAGATAAATCTTCTAGGAATGTCTGTAACAATAGAGACCCTTGATAATTATGTTGTGGTGGTAGAATTGAGACCTTGATTCTTGAAGGACTTGCCGTTATAATGGGATGGATACAAATTGTCTTATGAATCTCTGTAACACTCCCAAATGAAATTATCAAATGTTAAAATTGCTATGGTTCACTTTTTTTTTTTAATTATAGTTTTAATGCCAACGGGATCTAGCTCATTGGAAAAGGGCCTTGACTTGCATATCAGAGGTCTCAAGTTCAAATCCCCACGGTATCATGGTTGTGTGTATGAGAAATCCACTTTCCCTGTAGTTAGACTATCGCTTGTACTAAAAAAACAATATATATTACAAAATAGGAAAAAGTGAATGTTTCAATTCACATCTTGCCCTACACCCAACCCAACCCACTAATGGTAGTTCTAAAATCAAATGTATCTCATTCACAATCACACCATGTTACCTTTATTATTTAATGCTACAGCCCTAATCCTAACCACATAAACCCTAAACCCCCTTAAAACGTTGTGAAATCCTAACAAGCCACCCTAGAAATACCCTGCAATATAAACCCACTAAACAATTTATCCATCAAACAAAAAAAAAATTAAAAATTATGGAACCATGAGATAAGAAATCGAAGTTAAGAGAAAGAAAAAAAGGCTTATATATCTAGTCAATTAGGCAATTGTATGAATGTCTGCAAAGTAAAATAATATGAAATATAACTGTTATTTTGAATGAAAATCTGAGTGGGCTTCTGGAACATGTTGAAAAACAATTAGAATTTTGATAAAAATGTTTTCTTAGGATGATTATTATTATTTTTTATAAAATATGAAGACTCAAGAATTTACAGATATTTGTCTAGAAAGTACAATTGCAATTGCTTTGGAAAATGTTAAAACAACCCCGCGTATCCTTAGACGTGAAGTTTAGGAGACATATCATTATCTCCTATTTGACCTGCATGTATGTTTAATTGGGATTTCTACTACAACTACGATATGGATTTATGTTACAACTTCCGACATGATTTAGGATTTCTTGGGATGGGACTTCTATAAATAGAGGCGTCAAATGGAGGATTCACACAGAAAGCACACACAGGAAAAAGAGTACACTTCTACTCATTGTGAAGCATTCTTCTTGATATATTTGTGAGTTTACAAAGAAAATGACATCAGTCTGGCCCGGGTTTGAGAAACCCAAAGTTTGGGAAGCCAAAAGAAAGTAGCACCCGTGTGGCCGGGGCTTGACAACTTGACACCGGTATGGCAAAGGCTCGAGAAACCTGAAGATTTTGGAGGCAAAAAGAAAATGGCGCCGGTATGGCCAGGGCTCGAGAAACCGAAAGAATTGGGAGGCAAAAAGAAAATGGCGCGGGTATGGCCAGGGCTAGAGAAGTCGAAAGATTTGGTCGATGCAAAGGGCAATGAGATACGCCAATACAATTGTTTTGTGGTTGAGTTCCCATCAGTTTCTTTCTAACGTAATTCCTTCTTGTGTTGCACAAGTTGTGCACAAACACGTTGTGTTTACTTGTTCTCTCATTCTCACTTATTATCAGTTAGCTTATATCTTTGTATGGTCATGGAATTGTTCATATTGATATCATAATGATTTTTTCTTCTGTTTTTAGGATCACATATCAGTATCATAATTCATAAGTTCGCTTCGCTTGCCATCCAGAAAATTAGGTACTCTTTTCTTAAATGACTTTTTATCCGAACTTGTCATAAACAAATTTAGGAAATGAAAAAAGATGATAAAAGACTCGTGGAGGCCAACTTCTAACAAAGGCAGCAAGAACCTCATCCATCATATTTTCTCTCAACGGCAGCGTCTAATACTGCTCTAAGATGCACTATCTTCTCGGCAGCCACGCCTAAGCGTTCTTGAAGGGCAGGAATTTTAACAGCTTGCACCTCCAAGAATTCCTGAAGAGAAGAAAACTCCGAAGCCGTATCAATAGTTGTCTGTGCTTGAAGAAAGGCAGTAGCATTTTCCGGGAGCTCATTCCTAAAGACTGTCAACCTAGTCTTCAAATGAGCATATGGGAAGACACTGGCTGACAAAAGAACCTCTGAAGAAGCAAAAAAGCCTTCTTGCATTTCAGAGTTCGTTAAAGCATCAAAACCTTGACAAAGGATTCCTCGGATGGTCTCCTTGGCAGACTCCACAGCTGCTTGCGTAGTTGTTGGCCGAACATCAGAATGATGGGTAACAGACCCCCGAAGTAGATCGTTAACGTCAGCCTCTAAGGAACTCAACTCATCCAACAACTATAGGGATACAGCAAAGTTAGTAGATGAAAACAGCCAACCAAAAATAAAAGATAAGAAACACTACATGACCTTGTGTGATCCGGCTGTAGGAAATAATTCTGAACGAAAATGATTACTCAGCAACCTTGAATTTGTATTGGAAGGACAAATGGTTGCAGGCTCCTGAAAATTAAGGACATCAACCTAAAGACTAACACACATAACTATTATGAAATGCCATAATTCATAGAAAAGGATTTATATTCTTCACTGGCTGAGGACGTGAGAACTGAATTGTTGAAACACATAGGCAAGTGGAAGGCTGTGTGACAGCATGGTATGGATTAACAAATAGGTCGTCAAGAATACCTCTAGAGAAACAGTGACATTCTGTATTATGACAGTAAAACATGAAGGTATAAACCCTGAAGGAAAAGAAACAGAGAATCTATTTGTCTCTCAACAGCAGCGTCTAAAATTGACCTAATGAATGGAAACTAGCTTTTTCGTTCCTAATTGGGATTCTTTTTTAGGTTTTCAATAACAGCAGGTTCTACACATGAGAACTAAAAAGTAGTTTTTCCCTTTTGCCGTGGTCAGATGGCACTTTGCAATTTGGGTTTTCAGTGGTGTTGAAGCAAAATTAACATCAAACAATAATCAAATGCGGGTTAGGTTAGTTTGCCTAGGCGTCCGCCCTCTTGCATCCGTGTTCAAACCCCTTTTTCATACATTAGAGTAGTTTAGAATATTTTTAAAAAAATAATAATAATCAAAGCCATAATGAAACATGTTTTCTGTCAGTTAATATGAGAAAGGTGAAGCAGAGTTTGTAAGAAATGGTGGTAAATTTGATACGCATAAGTCCGAAATTCAAAAGGTTTTTTTTTTTGGGTTCTTTTTAACATATTTTCATGCCTTGGTTTAAAGTTTAGGCATTTACTGCTTCATTGGTTAAACAAAATTGTGTTCAGTCGCAAATTTTTCTAAGTATATTCACTAACTGCTTTAAGAAGATAAAGAAGAACTATTTTATCTTCTTCAACCAATACGCACTCCCGATGTTCTAATTAAAATGTACATCAAAATAGAACAAACCTCATTGAAGGTTAAAACCACTATTAACTGTGGATATTAATAGAACACATTTCATATGTTCTAAACTATGACAAATAAGGGAGGAATTACCTAACTCAAAAGTCCAAACTTTGTAATGCTTGCCACAGTGTAGAACTAGGGCCGGGCTTAAAGTTTTTATACACAAGAATTTCTGTCAAGGGGAAAACATTGGGATATTGAGCACTGTATGGAATGTATCTCCTCAAACATCTGCCAAGTTCTAGGACTTCTCGATCTCTTTCTAAGAAACAAAACATCGTAGCTCGAAAGAAACATATCGAATATTTCGGATGGAGAAGATGAAGGACTTTAACTCCAACTGAAGAGGAGGATGGAAGAAAGTTTGAAGGAAGAGAGGGAGAAGGAGCATCTTTCGCTTGAACTAATGAGACTATTATCACCATTTGTACTCTGATATGATTTTCCTCCATTAGTTTTGAAATGTGTAAGTTTCTGTTTTAAAGTTGAATAAGTAAGTGTAAAATGTAAACCCTTTGACATACTTTAATTTGGGGTGCACCGTATAAAGAAAATAGAGAAATTTTAGCTCTTAATTAGGGATTTTAAATTAACCAGCCAATGAAGAGAGAAACAAGAATAGGGAGAAGAAACGTCACAAACTTGATTGTACGGCAACTCGGATACGACCATCAGATTAGTAGACTATATCACAGTTTGATCATTTGGCTTTATACTTAATACGTTCCTATAAAGTTGAATTTATCAAAGTTATACACTATTCGCTGTTGAAATTGAAGTCACTATATTTATTTATTTTTTAATTTAACCACACAAAAACTCAAACAAAAGTTAACACAAATTTTCAGACTTGTGGGGTTTAAGGAAAGAAAAGAACTGTTTGTGATCTTGTGTATAGAAGAATAGTATCTAGAGCTTCAAAAATTTACATATCTGGAATTTTATGTCCAAAGGGTGTTTATAAAAAGAAAACTGATCAGAGAATCAGAAATTGAAAGGTCTTGACTTGAGAATTACAATGTACGCAAATGCAGGTACCGGTTGGCCAGGACAATGTACCCACCCCTTTCATCCGAATTTGATTACCCTCTCCGAGAGTAAGTTAGGCTATCACTTGTAACCCCAAACAATAAAAGAGGGCAAGTGCATGACATATAAGAAAATGGTATGATAAAAAAATCACAAACATATTATGGAAGTGCACATTGAGTGTCCAAATCAGTGAAATCACACTAACTCATCAGTGGGATATTAATTAGCACACTAGATGATTAGTATAGCCAATGATTTGCATCCGTCTCGGGTACCTATTTGACCTTGCATCATAAAAAATTGCAAAATTTAACCAAAATAAAGAAACAGAGGAAAAGGTAAAATTGCATACAACTAACAAAAATCGTCTTCCGCCACCACTCTGATTACATGCCAAGTTTTCAATTCAAACATAAAGAGAGTACAAGAATTTCAATGTTTAAGTCCTAATTTAAGTACACCTTTTCCAACCTCTAACCATTTGCAGGTATCTAGATGGGCTTGCTCATCAAACTCTTAAATATTGGCATGCCTACAAAATATAACAAACCTTGCACAGGATCGACCACGGAGAGAGAACTAGAGGCCAAGTGCTGAGAGAAGTTCGCGCCATCTTGGAGTTTCTTCATCAAAAATGTAGGTCAATGGGGAAACTAGAACTCCGCTGCCTCCAATCTGCACCAAATTATAGGAGATTAAACCCCAGTATCCAAGGGAAGGAAAATCTTAAATGAAACATGGACCTAGATTCAAAATTTAATAATAATAAAATACAGCTGTGTACAAGAGGCAGGCACAATGATATCTGCAGAGAAACTCCACATCCAAGGTTTAAACCAGTTCTAATTTAGAACCATCGTTCCAGCATATTAAAAAAATGACCAACTGAAAACTAGAAACTAGTTCAAACCAATGTTCATTTGTCACTGTGAAACAAATAAAGGGCAGAGTTGGCTGCTTATATATCTAGGTGGCATGTCTGTCAATTAACCAACCAAACAAGAGCATGTTGTTGTGCACAAAATAAACAAACTAGAGAAGCTCCTAGCCAATTCAAAATATTTTCCTAGTCCCTACAATATTTAAAAAATAATAATGACGAAACTAAACCTCTGATTGAACAGTCCAACTGCCATCCTCTGACTTATTATTTATTTGTTTCTTTTATATGCTGTAAAGATAAATACATAAGCCAGAAGAATTTCGCTGCATGAATGTGAGGGTGCTGGTCAACAGAACAAGCACTCTCATAGCATTTGAGAAGCAAGGATTCATTTTACATAACATTGAACAATGCTTATAATATATTATCATGGCTCACCGCTCTCAGTTGTTGTACAGACTTGTAGAGCGCCTTTTTGGGTACACATATGACTATGGCATAGTAATCCGAAGAAATTTGCCCATCACGTTTGCAAAAAACTGGACTTATGGTGGGTCCCTGCATGTGTTACCATGTAGATTATTTAGAAACTCATCAAGTGAAAAAGGGTCAGTACATCAATATAAAAGACCAGTTATTAGTGTATACTGCAACTTGAACTTAAGGTTCATGGTTAGAGAGTAATGCTTTATTTCAAACCTCACCTGCAAACCTGATAATGATGGCTGGCTCAAGACACGCTCAGCCACTTCCTCTGCACTACTTCCTCTCATATTTGCAGTTACCTATTATGAATGCATGAAAATAAAATTTAAAAATTATGGGAAAAAAAATCCTGAAGGTACAAAAATAGGTTTTCAGATACGCACCGTGAACTGACCCTCAGCCCTTAGATGCGCCTCCAATCTTTCAAGAATCTCATGTGTTGTGTCCAGTGCACTTTTCCTTTGGATCAACGATCTCTTACTTGCAACAAGAACTGCCTAAAGAAAATCTAATTACAAGCATAAGACAAGATATGGAAAGAGCAGACAGTTGAACAAGCTTCTTCTAAGTAGCATGCTTAAACCTACAAGATCACATGCTAGGTAAGATGAGCCATAAAGCAAGAACCTTACCTGGCTTCGCAACACAACTCCCCCCTCGATCTCTTTCAAGTTGTTTTCTTTCAGTGTGATCCCACTACTCACAAGGTCCAAAATTGCATCAGCTATCCCCATCTAAATTCAAAAGAGAGACAGGTGGCAATTAATTATTTTCTACTTTTATTGATAAGTTTAAAAAAAAAACCCTAGCTTCAAATGCCAAGGTCAACAACACCACATCAAACTAGATTGTACAAAAGATTGAAGACCATCCCCATGAAACAACTAGCTAAAGAGTCATTTGAATGTATGGTATCTAGAACTTAAGCACGGATTCAATCTCTTCAAGAAATATCATAATATTAACTGCAGCAGCTAGAATCCAGCAGAGTTCTGGACTAGTATACTTATAGGTTACATACTGATACACAAAATTATTTGAAACAAAAACTAGATGATAAAAACCAATAGCCTATGTTTCTCCTCAAAAGGAATCAGGAAACAATGAATTGAAGATATCGTTAATCATGATACATATACTGGGAAACATGCATCATGATTTATATTATGCTGGGAGCAATGCAACTACATTCAGACAACAGGCAATGCTCCTCATAAGTTCAAGCAACCCCACCAAATTTTACTCTGACAAAGCATATTCTTACCGCGGGAGCTGCCTCGAGTGCTCCATCAGCAGTTGAAAAGCTCACATGGTTCAGTCCATTTTCTTTCATAAATTTCGGACCCAGCTGCAGTAGAAGACAAAAGAGAAATTAAATCCAAACAGAACCCTTATTTCCAATAAGATAACAAACGAAACTTATTCCCAAAATGGAAAGTGATGAACAATACGGTGAGAAAATCTTAAACACATTGCGTACATAGGTGAAGCCAGTAGCAACTCGCAGAGGTTTCTCTTCAGTCCATTGAGGCATTTGTGCTAAATCCTTCAGTGAATTTATATTCTCAAAAATCCCATATTTTGGAATCTGAAAAACCAAAGGATATTTGAAGGCTATTAAAGGAAATATGAGTGAGATAACTGGAATTGGTTTTTTGGGTAATAAGAAAGTAACTCACTGCAAGGGATAAGCGGCAGTCCCCATAATCAAGAGCATCATGAACAATGATAAGATCTTCATTCCCCTAAATAGAACTATAGATGATTAGTGTTCCGTTCTCTTTGAACAAGTAATACGAGTGATAAGCTTTAATTATCAACGCAATTCTTCATATTCATTTTGGATAAGAAAAAAATAATAAACAATGAAAATATCTTTAATAGAAGAACAACATGAAGTAATTTTTCTGACACAATATGCAGAATGAAAGAGTGCAAAAGAGGGCAAAGAACTTATATTTAAAAAATAAAAGGACAGATTCTATGAGATGGCCTGCTTCCAAAGTTTTATCTAACACTCAATTCTTAAATATAACATAGCTGCAAGGCGATTGTAGCTCAGTGGTTAAGAACATTTACACTTGCACTTGAGGTCTATCTCTCCCCAATATCCCTTGTATCAACAAAAACATATAACAGAGGTCTTCCTAAAGAATACACTGGTCAAGTAACTATGCTGGACTATCCAAAGGTCTCAGAAGCAATGAAAAAGAAGACATAGCCTATTGCTTTATGAGTTGTTACTCTGCAAGTGCATGCACATTTCCATCTGTTTCAGGCTCTGACTTATTTCCTGGTTGGTCAACTATAGGTCTGACGTCAAGGGATTAAAACATGGGGAAAGCCTACTATAGTTGGAGGCTTTCCTTCTCTTCTTTTTGGCAAGTAATCCAAGTGATAATAAGTTTTAAATTTCAATGTACTTCTTCATAGTCATTTTGGATAACAAGCAAAAGAAATAGAAAATATTTCTTCAAGAGAAGGACGCCATGACTGCAGGTAATTTTTAAACATACACAAATTACTAAGGAAAAACAGTGATGATCTGTTTATTTTGGGCAGAGGTATCATAGCAAAACCAAAGGCAAAACAAGCAAGCTATGATTGGTCTGAGGTAAGTATCAAGAAATTGAGAGATCATGATTGAACGATGACTAAAATCACAAATATCAACATTTTTGCACAGAGTAACAGCACATGGGATGACTCATGACTGTTGGTGTCAATTATATAGCTTTCTCCATTGTTTGGCCCGACGATTACAAAAAAATAATTATAGCAAGTTATGAAAATTTCTAAACAAATTCCACACACAAAAATAAGTACATACTAAAAATTTTTTATTTTTTTTCATCTGTTTTAAACAAAGGGCCAACTTCATATCTATAAATTTGAACTTCTAAGTAAATACATTCTGGGTTATGCATTCCAATATCCAAGATACACAGCTAGCATGGAAGACGACATCATTAGTTTCTAAAGATTTGATGATATTGAGATGGAAATCAATTTTACATGCAGAATTTTATAGCGCTGAATAGAACCCAACTACGTTTACAATTGCGCACCCTAAATCCCAATTACATATACAACTGCACACCCTGAAACCAATAAATTGAATGAAAACGATACATAGGTGATGGTTACCTGCCCATATTCGCTGACGGTGTCAAAACCTGCTATGCCAAGGTCTAAGTCTCCAGACAACAATTTCCGCACAATGTCTTTGGGCCGTTGAAACCACACTTCCAAATCCGAAAGCTGCAGTGAAAATTCATGGAGAAATGAATTTCAATTCTTTTTTTCAGAAATAAATAAATAAAAGAAAAAAGATAGAGAATTTGAATGAAAGAGAAGGAACCTGTGGGATTTGTGCAACATATTGGCGGGGATTGACATGCTTGACGGACAATTGACAGTCCTTGAGAAGATCAAGAGTGTCGGCGGCCATGCGGCCTTTGCTCGGCAAGCCAAGACGAATCTCGTTCCTCTCGGGGACTTTTCCATTCACCACTTCCGCCGCCGATTGCAGCTGCGAAACGCTACATGTGATGTGGAAAGACCGGGAGATGGGAACGTAGCGAGTGGGAAAGAACGGACACTTTGTTAGGTTTGGATTTGACGCCAACATCTTCCTCTTTGCTCCAGATTTTGATTTTGAAAATGTTAGCAGCCGAAAACGGAACTGAGGGTGAGAGAGTTCAGAGCGAGAGACAGAGACTATGAGGACAGATGGGTCGTGGGTGGGCTGATGGCTGAGAAATTTTAAGTTAGGATATTATGTTAGTATTTATATGACACTATGTACAAGTAATAACATATGTAGTCCTATTTAGTCCCTCTTTGTTGAGTTAGGGCCCTAACCTATTTTCTACCAAAAATATAACAGTGTATTTGTACTATTATAATTGCCGACTTTCAAGTGAAGAAGTCTTAGACTTAAACAAGGATGCCGACATCTTTTCTGACTCACAATTAAGGTATAAAATATCGGGAGTTTCGGAAATATCAGTAGTCCAAAAACACGGATATATCGAGGAAATATCGATATCGATAAAAATTGAATAAAAATCACGGAAATTATGATAAAAACTTGAAATTTTTTATTGAAACTTTAGAGGATGTTTACTTAGTCAATTGTCTATTATTTTATCACAAAAAATTGGAAGGAAATGCATGGCATGGTGGGTTTGAGTGAGTTAAGTTGATTATGTAGTGACCCGACAAACACTGTGACTTTAGAAAATATGTAGTAATTAATTAAAGAAAATTAAACACACCATAATTTTTTAGTTATAATAATGTACTTCAATATATTACACTTGATACATATGATAAAATATATGAGCTTAACCAAAAAAACAAAGATAAAATGTATGAGTAACTTAGTACCATATAGAAATAATTCCTATTAAAATTCAAATTTAGTATCACATATAATGAACAATATTAAAACTCGAAGTGAATAATAATAAAACTCCATAATATATAACAACAACAAAATACTACTCCATTATAAAATAATAAATAACATTAAATATATGCTTAAATTTATTCTTAGGGAATTTTTTTAATATGGAAATTTATCTTAGATAATATTAGCTTGCAGACATTTTTAAAGACCTTATAAATATTACAAGTTGAAGGTATAAACACAAACTTAGCCGCATCTGAGTTGGATAAGGCGCTGGCTTTGATGAGAAAGGGAGGGGGTTCGAATCCCTCTGTGCGCAAGATGGAGCCTTTTTAACATTTTTCTTGTCTTTTTCAAATTATCGATAAATTAACGAAATATAAATGGCCGCTATCTCATAAAAAGGGAATTGATTTTCCCACTTCTATTTTGTCCACTTACACTCTCTTTGTTGGAAATTGTATGTCATCACTCCTCTTTAGTCCACTTATATTCTCTTGTTGGAAATTTTATGTTATAGTAAAATTTTATTTTATTTTTTTAAACAAAAGGGAGGGTAAGATGACAAAAAAAGGAGTGAACAAAAATCAACACCCCATAAAAAATGGTATATTTTATTTTAATCCCTTAGGTTTGACAATTGCGATTTAAAACCTCATGTTTAAAACGTTGCAGTGTCACTCGACATCATGTAGATGTACTATGTTGTCGTACTACCTTATTATTCCATAATCACTCTGTATAAGGTGCAATGTCAATCTTTCAACCAGTGACGGATCTATTAAGGCATAAGGAGGTACAGTTGCACCTCCCCTCTCCAGAAAATCACCTGGAGATGCCGGAATTTTCCCCTTTAATGGTGCTCACCATTTGTTCTATTAAATGCCTCAAAGAGGCTTTCTTGTTTTGGTAGTGAAAAATTGCATCTATTATGACAAGACTCCTTCAGATGTGTGTCTAGTTAGAATTGCATACTTCTTTTTCTGGCATAGAAACACTACGCAAGGAAGAAGATGCGCGAGGAAGAAGATGCACCAGGAAGAAGATGTGTGCTGTTTATTTTGGGTTTCTCATTAAAACGATGTCGTCTTAGTATATAAGTTTCATTTAAAATGAAACAATGTGTTTGCCCAAACCTTCTTAGGATATAAAAAAGGCATGTTTGGTGGAACAGTCATCGAATTAAAAAGATAAAGAATGGAACGATGGATGCTCTCTCATAATCATATTGTTAGGTTTTGTTATTTTAAATGCAATGGTGCCTTTTGTCTGTAGTAAAACCTTTATTAATTTTTTTGGAACATCTTCATTATTCAATATTACATTAGCCTAGCCTAATATGAAAACTTAAAGGTATTTCTTAGAAAGAAAAAAAAATTCATGTTATGAAAGGCTTATGCCTCAATATCTCAAGGCTTACACCTAATCTTAAGCCACCCGAAAGGTATCGTCCTTTAAAATTTTGGTATGAACTAGGAGTCTGAGGCTTGTGGAAGGGTACAAATGAAGGCCATGTACATGTAGCTACGAATTTTGGATGGTATTAGTTGGTAATTTTTTTTTAAGCTTTTAGCCTTTCAAATTTTGCCCCTTTTCCAAAAATTTCTTGGGTTTACCAGTGCTTTCATTCATCATTCCGTAAGATTCGAGCAGTTCAAAAATATAATATTTTAGTTTTTTTTAATCTAATATTATTTTAGTTTGAAATCGCAATTATTGTCAACTTGAGGGGCTAAACATTATGCCAAACATTTTTCATAGAACACTATTATTTACTTTGTACAATTTATTTTCTCATTTTGTGGAATATAATATTTATATTTTCAAGTCTATTATTGCATTTTTAAGGGAATTGATTTTTCCACTTCTTTTTTATCCACTTATAATTTTTTTATTAGAAATTGTACGTTCTCACTTCTCTTTTATCCACTTACACTTCTTTGTATGTTATAGAAAAAAAATTAAAAAAACAAATTTATTCTACTTTCTTTTGGCCTGAATTTATCTTACTTTTTAAAATTCATATTTCGTCTGAGCGTTTATCAGTAAATTTATTAAATTGCTAGATCGAGCACGCGACCCTGTTGACAAATTTTTTTAACTTACCGTAAATTGGACACTTTTTTATCCTCCATATAAAAAAAAAAAAAAAAAAAAAAAAAAAAAAAAAAAAAAATAGAACAGTTATTAAAAAAACAGAACACAATGTCGACAAAATTTCCCTCCGTTTCTTTTAAAGCGAAACAGAGTCACAGCAGGGCATACGAACATTTCATTAAATCAAACACGTAACGGAAAGAAGAAGCTACCTCGTTGCGTCAGTGTCACGCCACGTGGTGATCCAACGGCTGGTAATGTCGGTGGCAGTATAGAAGGCTTAATCCACCGAATAATAAATCACACTTTCTTTATTCTAAGAAGACTTCAGAGCCTTCTTTCTTTTTCTTTTTCTCTGCAACAACTACTCCTCCGTCCTTTACTTTCTTTCCCAAAGAGCTTCGGTCAGGCCAATCGTTGTACCATTTGTAGGGTTTTCGTTTTCGAATTTGATTTTGATGGAGTCGGCAACGACGTCGTCTCGTGAAGCGGAGTTCGAATACTTGTTCAAGCTGTTGCTGATTGGGGACTCTGGGGTTGGAAAGAGCACCCTCCTCTTGAGTTTCACTTCCGATACCTTTGAGGATCTCTCTCCTACTATTGGTGACCTTATCCTTCCTTAAATTTTGTTTTTTTTAACTATTATTTGTATTTTTTTTTTCTTTTTGTAATTTTGCTTTTTATATTTTCTTTTTGTAGGTGTGGATTTTAAGATAAAACATGTTACTCTTGGTGGTAAAAAGTTGAAGCTTGCAATTTGGGACACAGGTAATGAGTTGTGTTATATTGTACTTTTTCACCTTTGTATGGAGATTAAGTTTATTGTGCAACATTGTGAAGTTCTTCAATTAAAATATTTGGAATGCTTGATCATATACCATTTTTGAGATTACCCAACACATTTTCCTAGTAGATGATGAGTTCTTACTATTGTGGTGGTTATATGGTTTCTACAACCTTTCGATTTTTTGGTATTTGGTGTATCCTTGTACATGATTACTTATTTGTCATCAGAAAATGGATTACTGGGTTTGATGGTGCAGAAGTTTTTCAATTTGATATTATTTGCAAGTTTCACACAAATTCACTGACTTAAAAAGTATTGTTCATAATGCAGCTGGACAGGAAAGGTTTAGAACTCTAACTAGTTCATATTACAGAGGAGCTCAAGGGATAATAATGGGTATGTTTGTCTCTTTCGTGTTTATCCAGCACACATTTTTTCTCTTGTTAACTATATTGTTTATAGGTTAGCTGCTGTTTGAGAATCTATGGGACTTTGTACTTATTTATTGATCTGGTGCAGTGTATGATGTGACGCGAAGAGAAACATTTACAAATTTGTCTGATATATGGGCTAAAGAAATTGACCTGTACTCCACAAATCAAGATTGCATCAAGATGCTTGTTGGAAACAAAGTCGATAAGGTATGTACTCTCTCACATTCAGTTGTTGATTATTTCATTAAGTATTGCACCAAGGTTCTAGGGCCTAGTTGGTGTTGTATGTTTTATTTTTTGGATCGGATAGTTGGCATTGATTTGGTTTAGAAGTTATCCATTCTCTCTCTCACGCTCATTAGACACTTAGAAGTCTTGAATCATTAGAAGAGAGGGAAAAGTAGGATTTCCTCGATCTTGACCTTTTCATTTTCTAATCAATCTGCCAGAGGTCCCCAAATCTATTGCAATTATTTGTATAGCCATATGACAATTAAAAGCCTAACCATAGCTATATAAATAACTAAGTGTAATTATTTCCTGAGTTGTAATTCTGATAAATAGAAACTAAAAGCAATCTAAGTCAAGCTTGCGATCATTCCTAAGACAAAGACAAGTTTTATTCATGTATTCATCATCAAGAATCCATGTTCAGGTTATCTTTATTTTCCCCCCAGGAAAGTGAAAGGACTGTCAGTAAAAAAGAGGGGATGGACTTTGCAAGGGAGTATGGATGCCTTTTCCTTGAGTGTAGTGCAAAAGCTCGAGTAAATGTTGAGCAATGCTTTGAGGAGCTTGTCTTAAAGGTATGCAAAATGGTGGCTTCCCTCTTTTTTCTAAATTACTAATGATTATGAGATGTCTTCTATATGGGTTCTCTGGGATGGTACTGGTTCAGATAATGGTTTTTTTTCTAGATTTGCTACCATAATTTATGGGCACTGGGTACTTTGGAAATGATTGTTGTCACCATAATTTCATAATGCTTCATTTCTCTTAATGGCTTAGATAGTGTTGAAGTTGGTTTGTGTTTACAAGACATTTTTCATATTAAAGTTACTATTCATAGATCGATGTCAACTTGGATGTTTGATGATTGCATTATGATAATCTGGCAGGCGAACTTATCTTTTTGGTTTAGTTGGATGTTTTCTCTTGTGAATCTGTGATGATGTTATTGTACCATTTGATGCAGATATTGGAAACACCAAGTCTCCTGACTGAGGGCTCAGCAGGTGTGAAAAAGAACATTTTCAAACAAAAACCTCCTGAATCTGATGCATCAACAAGTGGCTGTTGCTAGTGGTGATTGGATTTTGAGATTTCAACATATGTTGGCATATTACCCATTTGTCTTCTTTTCACTGAGGCTGATTTGAAATTCTCGTGTATCATCAAATTTAACGGAACTGTGATACGGTGATATTTGGTGTGATTTAACCCGACAATTATATATTTATAATTTCCAGAGCTGAGATTTCAGTGTTTCCGATTGTTGTCTTCTTCTTTTCCTTATTTGTTTCAGTTACCTCTTTCTGAATTTGAATGTGAAGCTTGATCAAACAAGTACTCCTGGGTTAGTAATGATTCCTGATTCTCCTATTTTAAATGTGATAAACTACATTTTGTACATAGCATAGCAGCCTGGAAAGTGTGCGAGTTTTACCTGCGCCGTATGGTAATATCAACTGATAATTTGATACACCGATCCATCGGAGACATGCAATGTTATGTTCCTAGAGTGCAGCAAACTGCTCATTTAAGCGAAATTGTAGACCAAGTTATTACACGTATCCATGCCACGGAAGTGGCTTGTAAACCAACAATTTGTTGTTCGAGCACAATTAGTCAAGACCCCTTGTTATATTTGGTCGGCGTGATGCATCAGTAATATGATATCGAAATCAGAAAGCAACAAACGATTGGGTCAAGGAAACTGGATCCGTATCTCATCAAAAGAATAAGACCTATTGAAAACCAGTGGTTACTTATATGGTGGCGCAATGCCTTCTCTACTTTCTCAACCTTGCAAGCTAGAATTCAAAACCAAGTTTACAAGACTACAAACAAAACTATTCGCCAAACGGCCATCCTCTGTATGATTGGAGAAAGCAAAACACCATAAACCAAACAAACAGATAAAACGGAACCGGCGAGCCTGAAGAAACTAGGTTGAATGTTCCACGGTAACAGAGAGCTAACAGCAGCATTACAATCTGCAAACAAGGTTCCACCATAATGTTATCTAGTCATCAAGCCATGGACTTTCGCTTCTCTTCCTCCAGTCGCTGCAGCTCAGTCAGTCTCTCAGCCCATGCTCTTTCCCTTGCCACAGCAGCCATTTTGTTCTCAATTCTCTTTATATTCTTCTTCCTTTTAGCCTCCTGCACTAGAGCCTTTCTTTTCTTCTTTTCTGACTGCACAACCTCAAAAGTAGTCCATATTAGAGGAAAAGCATATCTACAAAAGGGATTTCAATAAGGACTGAAGTTCAAGTTAAAAATTTGTATTTTAGGCAAGCGGGAGGAGGAATTAAATTCCATCCCAACCTAAGGATTGTTCCAGGCCAAAACGATTCCAAACCGTGTAAGACTATTTCATATGCCTTGGCACAATATCCTATATTCACTACCGTTCTAATCTATGCAAACCAAGTAACCAGCTAACCGAAAAGAAATTATAAGACCAGCTAGAGAACTGTATCATCCAAGACAAAGGGAGCAGGAGATTTGGACAATTTTGATTTATTTTTTCAAGCAAAATCATCTCAAATATATGAATATTTGCATCACTGAATATAGCTCAAGTATGTGTTACTGATTTTTATAGCGTTGAATTTCCCAATTCATTCTACCGTATCAAGGATTCCTCATCCAACTACCCCATCTAAATTGATTGTAAAGAATGAGCAATTTCTGAATTATTATTGTGAAACAAACAAAGTCCTCTCTACGGTAAGCTTTAACAGGAAAACTGAGCATTTTCTGAGTAAGACATGACACAGTTTGTAACTGAAATATAAAATAATAAAATAAAATAAAATTCCCAAACAAAGAAGATAAGAATAAGTTCCCAGTTATCTTCATGACAATGTACTTAGATTTCTATTTTCGTAAAACACCATAGTATATCTAAACCATTACAGACAACAGAAACATAATAGAGAGACGAATAAAAGAGTTCACGAAATACACACCAATATAAATGCGCGGCGCAGCCTCATGCGCTTCTTCTCATTCCTCCTCTTCACACTTCCTTCATTGGGTCTACTAGGAACTATCGGTTCACCAGGAGCACACTGAATCCCAGCATACGGTCCTGCATTCAAATAATCATGAATATCATGAATTTTTTATTGAAACCAAATCTCTAACTAAACTATTTCCCCAAATCCTAAATGTGAATCAACAAATTAAGCATTAGCAGCACTTGACAGCTAAGACTCTGTTTTTTCTTTCCTCAGAAACCAAACATGAAATTTCCAACAGTGCAATCATATCCAAGAGGTAATTAGTTAATAAGAGTTCACCTCAAAATAGGAGAGTCAGGTTTAGGATGAAGAAGCTACCTGGAGGTCTTATGCTGGCCCTTTTTCGACGAGACTTGAGGCTGGGTCGCCGCTTTGGGAAACGAGTATCTGTCAAGCTGTGGAAATGATTCGAAATCAGAAAAGACCACGGAGCTTGGCCACCAGAAAGGAAGCGGGTCTCAGGTTTTGGGCACACAGAACTGGCAGCAAATGAGGTTATGGAGCATGTCGAGGTGCGGGATATTAGGGTTCGGGAGAGAGGCCGCACAATGGACCTTAGGGCTCCAAATACCATCTCTTTTGTTTGATTTCAAGTGTTGTTGATGAAGCTGTGATGAGTATTTTTAATTATCTGAAACCAAGTTATTCATTTTAGCAAGTTTAAACAAAAACCCTCAACTTATAACCTACTATAAATCACATATGAATCAAAAGCCACCCGATATTACGTCAATGCCATGATAATTCAAATACCCATAAATCAAGAACCCAGTATGATTTTGTTCATATATTCATACATTCAGTAGTGAAAATAAAAAATTTGCTGTTAAAGCACATGCCAAGTGAATCAAATTGAAAAACTCACACAACAATACACAAACCCAGATGAAATAAATTTAAAAAAACAAAAAAAAACTATTGATTTAAGCTGAATTTCTACACTTCCAGCAATAATGTTTGCAAAAACGGAAAGATTCCATTACCTGCAAGAACGTGAAACCCTCTGTGTATATAAAGCTATTGCGTTCGCTTTCCCGCAGCCAGTGTTGGGTACGTAGAGAGAGCGAAATGGCTGAGAGTGAGAGAGAGAGAGAACGGAGAGATGAAGCAGAGCTGAGCAAAAATTGGGGCCCAATGGATCGGGTCGACCATTTTGCGGACTGGGCTAAAATATAGTGGGCTGGATTAAATTCAGATTCTTTTTGGTCTGAGGAATTAAATCTGGTTCGGTTGCATATACAAGGTGATGATTTTGGCGTCAAAAATCTCTCATTCCACACACCTCTACCACTCACACATATAAAAAGGGGGTGCCAAGATTATCACAATAATTAATCACTATGTCAATCACCTTTAAACTTGGCACGAAAATTTTGTAAGACATATAAAGTTGGAATTCTCTTTATCAAGCGGGAAAAAAAAATTATTTAGGGCACATTTCATTTAGGCATGCGGTTCAGTTTGAATTGGTTTCACCTTTAAATCACAATCAAATTAATTAATTGTTAAACTGTTTGATTTTATTTGAGCTAAAACGAGGAGAGAAGTCAAAACAAAACCACTATTATAGTATAAAGTTATATCATGTTTATAGGGTTTTCATTTTCCAAAACATGCATTTACACAATTTCTAAAACTAATAGTTATATGAAATGAAATATAACAATTTTATACTTAACAAAATTTCCTTTTCAGCATGTGTGGGTAGGTATGAGACAATTAAATAAGAGTGAAAATAGTCAGACTTAAAACAATAATTTTCTTTTACCAAAATAATAATAATAATAATATTCTAAAAATATGTGGGTGGTTTTCAGCAATCGGGTTGGTGTGGCAATAAAATTCCCCTCGGTAATGGTAAGTCATCAGATCATCACTTTTTTTTTTTTTTTTTTTTTTTTTTTTTTTTTTCAGTTTGTAAAAACCACTCCTATCATTATCTATTTGCAACAAACAACACAACCAAAACAAAACATGGCAACATCATGAACACTACACAAGACTCTGATACCACCACAAGCACCACTGCCTCTGCAGCAGCCTCTTCTGAGGCTGCCCTTGAAGAGGCCCCACCACAACCACCACCAGCTGCTGCTGCTGCTGCATCAGCAAAACCAGAGCCTCTCATGTTCTCCAAGGATCCAAATGCCCTTGAAAGCGGTGGTGGGATCAGGTGAGGTTCCTTCTCATTTTTCATAAACCCGATTTTTACTATTTTTGTTTATAAAATTTATTTATTTATTTTTCATAATTGCTTGGTTGTTTTTGATGGGTCACTCTTTGTTTTTACTGGGATCGCTTCCTGTCTCTGAAACATATCTATGTGGTTTCCCTTTGATCAGTTGAGGTGTTTCTTACTGACTGAGGATTGAGTAATATGGTTGTGGTTTTTCTTATTGGTTTAATTTGTTTAAGATCTTTTTATAAATCTTGGGAATTCTTTCTTTCGAACCCAAGAGGGTGTTTCCATTGGGTTTCAAAAAAAATTCTTTTTAATGTTTTAACACTCTTTAAATTCCACTTTTGTCTCCTGATAACCTGTTAATGTTTGATAATTCCTCTACAAAGATTGTCAGCTGATGAATGGAAATGAAGATTATAATTGAGTTATTGTCTTACAGTTTGAAATTCAGTGCAATCTTTGAAGTTGTTGAACAACATTGAAAAGAGAAGAAGTTAGTTTCAAACCTCGGAGTTTAAAAGTTTTGTGACTTCGGTTAGGGATTGTTGGACCTGCGGCTTGCACTAGGTAGTACTTAGGCACACACGGCCAATGAGTTCGCTCTTGAGTAGTTGATTATGGCTATCAAGCAATTTCCCTTACATTTAACCTTGTTTCAGTGGAGCTATTTGAACATACATCAATCTAAATAAATTAAAATATGCACCAATTCTGTGCTCGATATGTTGTTCAGCTTAGTCAAAGTGATCACATAAAGAAAATGCTGAGGTTCTTTATATTTTGGTTGGGATTGAGTTATATGTTAGTATGATCTTTGACTCAAACATGTGATTCTGTTTTCGTAATGTTTGTTGTGTTTTCACAGTTTCAAAGTATTGTTTTAACATTAAATATGACTTGGATGGGTGATATTATAGTTACACAAGATATTTCATCAGCCTTTGCTAAAGGAGCCATTCTGCAGTGTATTTGGTATCAAAATCCTGATAATTGTAATTTTCATATGTTATGTGGACAACCTAATTGTTTTTCTTCTCTTTTTCTGTTAGCTTTCTCACTGGGAGCCGTAATGCAAGGTTCAGCTATGGATTTTCCAGTTTCAAGGGTAAAAGGCCTTCGATGGAGGATTATTTTGAGGCAAATATATCTGACGTTGATGGCCAGATGGTTGCATTTTTTGGTGTTTTTGATGGTACAATACAAGTTTCTATCACCTATCCCTTGTAGCATGTTCTCTCATCAGGCTCAGAGTGTCAGAAACTATAGGCTGATAGTGTTTTATTTCTGCTTCTTCACATGTTCCCTTTGTCTAGGTTGTCCATCTTGATGGTTAATGTATACTAATGACAAAAAATAAAGTTAGGAAGAATATAGATGGTTGCTTAACAACCCCCCCTTGTCTCACTCTCTCTCTCTTCTTCTGCTTTGATGGATTTTGTGCTCATTTCTTCAGGTCATGGAGGTTCAAGGACTGCAGAATATCTAAAAAAGAACCTTTTCAAAAATTTGCGTAGCCACCCAGATTTTATCAAAGACACAAAGGCAGCTATTGGTATGAAGTGAGCTATTTCTTTTCCTTCTGTTTGCCCATTGAATTCATTGTTTCATGTTAAACTTTCTTCCCTGTGATCATGAGGCATGAGGCAGATCTGTGTTTATGACTGCAGTTGAAGTATTTAAACAAACAGATGTTGATTACCTTAATGAGGAGAAGGGTTATCAGAGAGATGCTGGCTCAACTGCATCAACTGCTTTGCTATTAGGTGATCGGCTTTTTGTTGCAAATGTTGGTGATTCAAGAGTAGTCGGCTGCAGAGCTGGTTCAGGTTACTGTCTTCTCTGCTAAGGGTGGGATTTACGGGGTTATAAGAGCTATAAACTGTATAATGCAAAAAAATTCAGGGCAATAACAAAAAATTACTGAACAAAAAAGCTTAGTTTTTGTTTTTTCCTTTTTAATAAAAGTATATGCAAATAACTTTTTCTTTTTCTTTTCTACTAAATAGTTGTGACATCATATATTGTGTTTCACTGTAGCTATTCCCTTGTCCATTGATCATAAACCTGATAGATCTGACGAACGCCAAAGAATTGAAGACGCTGGAGGTTTCATTATTTGGGCAGGTAAGCACATTTTCTTCAGTGTATGGTTTCAATTGGTCTGTGTGATGTATACTTTTATAGTGGTAAGGCTGCATTTTCCCAATATTTGTGGCACCTGTTGATTATGGCATTAATTACAATGACTAGAACTTCAATCAGTAACTTATATTTGTAAATATTTTTTCTGGATTGCCATAAATGAAGTTGACTTTTTAATTTTAACCCTTTATGACTCAAGTGTATCACCTGATATAGTAATAACACATGCATGATAAACAATTATAAAAAATTAGGAAAAAGCTGCCAAAACCAAGCCATTCGAATGGTGGATTTTCTTTTACAGATAGAGCTTCTTACTCATTCCCATCCTTTGCTCCCTTTTTGGGATTACATCAGTTACCTTCTACCTTGTAGTACTATCAACAAACTAATGAAATATCTGACAGAAATGTTCTCTTATTTAAGTTCGGAAAAGAATATTGTCCAGCTGTGGGACTGCAGGCTAAGATGATCTCCCTGTAATTGTACTGATATTGTTGAGAATATAGAATCTCTTGTCACAAGTTCATAGCCTTGCATGACTAAATATAATATCTTGGGCGTCTCCACCCATAGCCAATTGGTTTTGGGTTGATGCTTTAACTTCAACATGGTATCAGTGCTGGAAATCCACTTGATAGGCCTAACAGTCACATATGCTCAGGTCACCCAATATAATTGATCCGTGTGTTTGGTTCAGTCACGCCAGGGGTGTCTAGAGAATAGAGAATCTCACATCAAGAATCCATAGCCTTGCATGAAAATATATAGTATCTTGGCCTCTAATCCCATTGCCTATTGGTTTTGGATTAGATACTCCCAACTTTAACAAATATCATATGTGCCCAAGAGCAGCCTAGTTAATTTTTCCCAATTTCCGTCCTTTGATGCAAGTTGTCTCTGTATGTTGCTCCCCTTATCTATGTGTGCCAGATTATACCATGTGATTACTTTACATTTTTCCATCCTAATTTGTTAACAATATAATTATCTATAATGAAAACATAACAGTGATGAATACAGAATTATCCTATCTATCGGTTATACACACTGATGGATCCAGAATCATTCTATCTATCTCTGTAAAATCCAGATCAGATACTTTTTTTTATGTTCTTTAACATCAGTGTTCCCGGATGACCTGTGCATAAGTCTGGAAACAATTTCAATCCCAAACTTATGCTTTGTGTTGTTAAACTTGCCAGGAACATGGCGGGTTGGAGGTGTTCTTGCTGTTTCCCGTGCATTTGGAGACAAAGTACTGAAACCATTTGTTGTTGCAGAGCCAGAAATTCAGGTAATCTGAAATCATAAGTTGGCTACTCACTTTCTGTCTTTGTGTTTACACATATACCTCAAAGTGTGTGTATCTGTTCATATGCTTATCTTTCACTCTTATGCTTAGGAAGAAGAAATTGAAGGAGTAGACTTTATAATTATTGCAAGCGATGGACTTTGGAATGTCATATCAAATAAGGTGAGTGCATGTATTGAATGAATTACATTGCTCTTAGATAAGGAAATTTTTGAATTTTTCATCTTAAACTTTTGAAAGAGATATTATGGGTCTTAGTATGTGCAGCATGTGACTGTCGCCATATCTATCATTTGGCTTAGTTACTAAAAGTGTAATATTTCTCTTCTGTGTATGGCGTATATCAACTGCAAGTGAGTCACTCAGATCCTTGAGAACAGCTATTTCATGCAATGCCAACCTAATTTCCCCTCCTAGGACATTGTCTTGATGGAACCAATACTGATTGATGGTGTATTTTCTATTAAATTGCCTTTAAAAGTTGGCATTATGTGGTTGTTGATGTCTTACTGTGGGGCATTATTGGTCACTATGATTGCAACCCTAGGCGTCTTGTGATGATGACTAGATGATCTAGCCAGCCATTTGGAATGGTACAGATCTTATCATGTACCATGATTTGTTCTCTCATAATTACTGGTATAAATGTGAGTTGTGTATAACTAAAGCGTGCATCATATCATGTGATTTGATTAGCCCTTAAAGCTGGAAAAAGGTACTTGTCTTAGCTTAGAAACTAAGATCTTGCGCATAATACTTAAGTGGTCAGTAAGCTCTTCCACTGTAACTCCACCATTCTAGAGAAAGATATAACAGTTCCAGGTTGTGGATTGGTCTGGGAATCTATTTTGAGGGACTTGATTGCTACTGGGTTCCCATTCTACATGTATGCCTTACACTTCTTTGGATTATAAATAATCCTTACCACAAGAATTACACTTACATACACTGGGATCACAATTTTCAATTTCAATGATCTATGTGGTTAATGGTTGCCTAGATAACTTCCTCTTCTTACCGCCCATGCTGGGTGGAGGACATGAGATTGATATGTACCTCTTGTGGTGGTCTCCACAAAATTATCATGAGCTATTGAATTCTCATCCATCAAAACCAAACATTTTGTGCAAGAAACCTGTGTGCAAGAGCCTGCAAACATTGGAACTCAAACTAAAATGTTGAAATCTAAGAAAATAGAAAACTAAACTAAAATTATAAATCAAATTTGTGTGCCAAACCCTTCAGCTTTGTTGTTGAAGGATGTATATTTTACTGCTTAGAACTTTGAGTTTTGCTAGCATTTCAAACTCGTGAATCCACTTTCTATGCACCAAAATTTGAAGTTAGACTATCTTCTCTATATCTCAGATCCCTTGCTCTGTTCGTCCATTTTTATGGAATTTCTTAAAATCTTAAAGTGTAGTCTCTTCTATATCCAGGATGCTGTGGCTTTAGTGCAGGACATAGCAGACGCTGAAGAAGCATCTAGAAAACTCATCCAAGAGGCTTTTGCACGTGGTAGCTCAGACAACATAACTTGTGTTGTTGTCCAATTTGGTATTTCAGAGTAGACTCGTTAATATTCCAAGGTAAATGTTGAGTTAATGGTATGTGTATATGTGTGTAGATTTATATGGCAACACATGCACATGCATGCATGCGTGCTACATATACACACACATGGAATTTCATTACTAGTTGGTAAGCATTTTGATTTTGCAGGTTCAGCTTACTTATTAAAACGGCATCCAAGCAATGTGGAAATACTATTGAGGCAATAGTTTCCTGAAATTGTCTTTAACTATTTAGTGTATTGGGCTGACAGCTCAGTTTTCAAGTTGTAAGTCCTGAACTCCTGACTGTTACCACAACCCATAGTGAATTGTCATTTGTTGCTTCAATGTAGTTTTGAATTTGAGTTCTTTTTGTTGTGAAAATGAAAGCTTGGATGCCTTTCAAATGGCCACATCCAAAAGAAGGAAAAACCTGTGTGTTTTGTTTCTGTCTTCAAGGACTGGTTATTGAGGATTGACAAATGATACGAGTTCATACAGGTGCTCGACCTGGTACATACCAAAGTTGAAGCATGTCATGCTGCTTTTTGGTTTAGTTTGAGGGGTATTTCAGATGATGATTAGTCTAATTGCTGATCAGGTGACATGATTAGTCTAATACTTGCATCCAATCCAATGGTTGACCTTGTATTAAATTGATGGCCAAAAGAGTTGATGTTGAATTTAAACAAAAAAATGTTTGTTACCTAGGATAAGGATAGGAAGCTTGTCTGCGTTGGTTGTGAAATGTGATGTGATTGCTGTTCTTTCCCTTTCCAAAATTAGAATCTATGAGTTTCTTGGCTTAAATTGCCGCTAGCATTTGGTTCACTTAATATATGCAAAAAGGAAACAGCCAAGAGTTCAGCAAACCGACTTGAAACACAAGAAAATCAAATGAAATATGAGAGCTTCAAATTTTCATTATTGTTAGGCAGAATTAAGCGAGTAAAATAGCATGGTAGTTAGTCACGTCCATCCGAAACATTTTCTTCAATTCCTTTGGTAGTTTAGATTGGTCTAAGCTAACATTCACCCAAGTCCACAAAGGTAACCTCCATTTTTAAACATTCTTAACATAGCTCTTTTCCCTTCAATTCAGGTGCTGATGTTTTATTCATTACGAGTTTGGATTTAATTAATATTTACTTTCGAGTGATCTAACAAATAACGAGTGTTGAACTTGTAAAATGTATATACATTTGTTACATGTAAGTCTTTCTCATATCGTGATATGAAAAGAAAAAGTTAAGTGAAGTAGCATCGTGGAGTAGTTGTATGATTGCACGGTGTCCCTCAAACATTACAGGCTTTGTTACTCGCCTTTTATGTAAGGTATTTTACATTTTATTTTGGTTTTTTTTTTCAATATGAACTCTAAATATCAAACCTTATACTCTATAAGCTTTGATTTTATATTTCTAAAACCATATGGAAACATTACAAACAAAAGAAATGTTAGTACAGAATTTTGAGGTTCCTCTGTCGTGAAGGTTGCCTAATGCCCACCTCTTTTATTATTTTTGAAATTTAAAATGTTATTTTAAAAATTACAAAACAATGTTTTTAAAGTGTTAGTTTCCAAATGTTTGCAATTATTCATCTCCTCCATAATTCATGGTTCGGTTTAACAATATAATACAAAAACAAAAGAGAATCCTTGAATTCATAGTAAACACTTCAATTATGAGTGATTTGAAAATAAAAGAAGCAGATAGAGCATATCTAATTGTTAAGAGGATATGATAGAATCTCCCCTTCATGGGGAGTTGGATTTTGAAGGCACATGGAAAAGTAAGTAGGGTCCTAAACTCAAATCAAAACACCATTTGGGCCCATGTGAAAAAGCCCGGATCAAAGCAGAATCTGGCCTCACACACGGACCCACAGTGGAAAAAGAGGCCCACACCAGCAAAGAACCCAACCCAGTGAGACAGTGACATTTCTAGAACTTAAAAATTGGAAAGCAGTTGAAAATACTGTCACTTCAAATTCGTGAACTTAGACATGATTTGTATATTGGTTCTCCAATTCGCAAAATGATTGTTGTAGTCTCGAAATTCCACTTTCATTAGCAGTGTTGATCGAGTTTGTTGAATTTTATGTTATATTTTAGAGGTAAAAAAGGATCAACACTGCTAATGAAAGTGGAGTTCAAAACAAACTATTTTACAAAATTAAGGATCAAAATACAAATCGAATCTAAGTTCAAGAATACTACAACTAAAAAGCCATATGATATAATAGAAAAAGTATGCAGATGCCTATCCCCCATCATAATAAGCGCCACCATGGGGACACTTAAAAAAAGGAGAACTGTTGTGCTCCCGCGAAAAAGTGGTTTTCAAGCCTTTGTTTATTCCTCTGTGGAACTGGGAAAGGTAAGTCTGCAACTCACTCAGTCCACACCAATCTCTCTCTCTCTTCTTTTTGTGAGCTTAATTTTCACATTCAGCTGAGCTCTGGGAGATTCTTCAGGCAAAAGCAACTAATTTAGCAAGAATGGTGAAGGAAACTGAGTTCTATGATGTCCTCAGCGTCAGTCCCTCAGCTTCTGAGGAAGAAATTCGCAAGGCTTATTATATTAAGGTTCATTCTTTGATATCTAATTTTCTTAATTTGATATGTTTTACATTTATTAATAGTTTTGCATTTGGTTTTTTATTTTTATTTGTATAGTTTCTTTTAAGTGCTGATCATCTTTCAGTTGTTTTTTGGTGCATTGGTACGATCACATACGAGAATGAATAAATTGAAATATAATAAACATATCTTGGTGGTAGATCCTGATTGACTGGTTACCTTTTGTTTTGTTTTTTTGGGTCCAATTGGAAACATTAAAGATTGAGAATTGGAGAATGGGAATTTGATTTTCAGAAAAGTATGATTATTTAATTGTTAAATTGTTAAGGGACTTGAATCGCCTAGTGTTCTTTGATTACTCATACAGTCATCTTTACCATATTTCTTACTATCATGCAGGGGTTTATGATTTATTTTGTTCAAATCTTGGTGAACTAATGCAACTTTGTATTCTGAACTTTTCTATATACTAGTAAACTTTTCTGTGTTTGAAATTCAAGTATCTGATATGGAGAGGCTAATATTGGTGCAGGCAAGGCAAGTTCATCCGGACAAAAATCCAAACGATCCTCAGGCTGCTGAAAGATTTCAGGCAAGTCCACTACTTCTAATCCTTCTTTTTATCGTTTGTTTATCGCTTTTTGAGGTAAAGAAAGTTTCAATCCTCTTATGAATCAAGTGGAGCCTTGCTCTGTCATTTTGTTGTCTTTTATTCTCTAGAGATGGGTTGCTGTATATAAGTTTTCATGAAGACGTAGGCGCTATGATATTTATCTTGTTAACACATACTTGTGTGTTTGTTCTATTAACTTGAGGTTTAATAAAAAAATCTTCTTGTTACCAGGTACTAGGTGAAGCTTATCAAGTTTTGAGTGATCCAGTACAAAGAGATGCATATGATCGAAATGGAAAGTATTGCATATCTAGGTACAAATACTTATATTTGACATTTGCTTATGCTCATATGTGCACACACGTCCACGCAGATATCTAGGTGATCCTATTACAGCTTTTGTTACTTGAGCTCTTTCTCATACAAAGAAAATGAATTATGATATAACTACAGATAAATTATACTGCTCCCAATCCTTCTGTCTTGCCATTAGTCCTCTAAACACATTCTTAACATAAATTTTGGCTTCATTTCATGAATTTGATTTCTGACATTCTACTGGACCTACTTACCTTTGCATAATGTAAAATTCTAAAGCACTTGTAGGGAAAAAAATCCACAGTTGTGAAATACTTTGTTGTTTGGAAACTTTCTCTACCCTATTTGATTTGTCCATGTGCAACGCAAGTTGATAGTATTGTTGCTATATCGTTATGAATTTAAGTTGTGCATTAATCTTATTCTTAGAATATTTTTTCCTGATATCCTAACAAGTCTCTGTTTTACTTTGAAGGGAAACCATGCTTGACCCCACAGCTGTCTTTGCTTTTCTTTTTGGAAGTGAATTATTTGAGGACTACATAGGACATCTAGCTGTAGCATCAATGGCCTCTTCTCAATTAGCTGGTGAAGGTGACAGCCCTGAGAAAGTGCATGATAAATTGAAGGCAAGTAAATTCCAGAACTCTTTAAATTAAATACCAGTATCTTTCTCTTTAGCGAGGCATGCTGTTCATTGTGCTCATGTTCGTGAATAAAATGGAACATAAAGGTCTGGCTTCTGCAGTCACAGGCTCACAATACATACTCATAAAATTACACGGGGTGGTAGGGTTGCAGAACTTCTGCTCCCATAAGGAGACTCAGTCTGGTTCTACCACTATTTGACCATTTCTCTTATGTTTTAAATAAGTCTAAGTATATTTCAGACAATCCTTAGGTATTGTGGTAGTCTGCTAGAGCACATTTGCTGCTTTTCAGATTTTCATGTCTCAACGTCTAATTCTATTCAATGTAACCATTGAGATTACCTAGGTGTGACTTTAACTTGATATCATCGTTTCCTCAAATTTTTATCCACTTGGTTCATTTCCTTTAACCTATAACAGCATCCATAGTATGGATTTATTTTTTGCAGGCTGTCCAGAAAGAAAGAGAAGAAAAGCTAGCAAAATCACTCAAAGATTTTCTTAATCAATATGTTCAAGGTGACAAAGAGGGATTCTTACAGCATGCTGAATCTGAAGCTAGACGACTTTCTGATGCAGGTCAACTAATTTGCATCTGGCCTGTTTATGATTTCAGTAACCGTTAATGAACCCATGTGACAAATGTTGCAAATAGAAGTGTTTTACAATTTCCACAAGAACTTTGTATCACTTCAAATGCTGTGACCATACTCATAGCTCAAAAGATTTATACCACCTAAATTGAAAGATTCCTCATGGTTTACAACTTCAATTATCTTCTGGAATTACCAAAGATTTAAAATCTATCAAAAATAAGGCACATATAGTACAGGGAATTTCTATCCTCTCCGTCTTTTCTTTTGAGTACTCTGTAATCTGCTTCATGCTTGATATCAGCATACTGTATAAGATGAACTTAAAGATTATCGATATTCTTCACATGAATTTTTTAAAGTAATGCACTTCATAGTAGTTGATATTGCAGCTTCATTTACTTTGATTATGTTTAAGCTGCCTGATATATGTTAGCAATTTAAGTGCTTGAGTTCAAGTTGATATACTGGTAAAGTTTTAACTGATAAATTAAAAAGAAACCGTGTCTTATTTATTCTTCTTGACGCCACTCTAATGTCAATTATCAGAAAACATCAATAAATCCTTGAGGACATAGTTGTGATAGGAACTTTAATGACAGCTTCTAGCTCCTAATAATCATATATCGAACCTAATTTTTATGACAACTAAGGGATGAGTTACTGAAACTGATAGGACTTAAAATTTTGTATGCTTTGTCAAATACAACAGAATTTGATTCTTGTAGGCATAAATTATTGACTTGTATTTGCTCATATGACACCCCATCTGTTCTTTGGCTTCACAAATTTATGTAATTGCGACGATATATAGTAGCGTGGACTCCGTAAGTTTCATGAAAAAATTAATGATGCATTAGCCTGTCACTACTTGTGCACGCTAAACTTTCTACTCTTTCTCAATTGCAGCCTTTGGAATTGAAATGCTACACACTATTGGCTATGTATATTCGAGACAAGCAGCACAAGAGCTTGGAAAGAAAACCATATTCCTAGGAGTACCATTTTTGGCTGAGTGGGTACGGAATAAGGGACATTTCTGGAAGTCACAGATGACTGCTGCAAAAGGTTTGCATATAATCATCCAGGACTCTGCCCCTCATTCAATGTTAATGTCGTGTTTTCTACAGGGAAATTTTAATTCCTCTTTTCACCTAATTATATCGGGAAAAAAAATGAATTCAGGTGCTTTTCAGTTGCTCCAACTTCAAGAAGAAATCCGTCGGCAATTTAAAATGGATGGAAGTGGCCCTGAAAATAATGTTGAATCACATATACGCTTAAACAAAGACACACTTTTGAACTCATTGTGGAAATTGAATGTGGTGGACATTGAAGTAACTCTCATGCATGTTTGTCAAATGGTTAGTGATTTCTTACAATCAACAGAAACCTTTCTTTTCATGAAACTGGTTTTGCTTTTCCATCTCCTGCAATGCATTTTGACACCTGTCAGATAACTGGAGATCCTTCTCATGATTCCAAAATATGGTTTCAGGTTCTGCGGGAAAATAATCTTAGAAAAGATGAACTTAAAGCTCGTGCTTTGGCACTCAAACACCTTGGAAGGATATTTCAGGTGTGTAGTTACGATTTATGCAAAATCTTGTAGAGGAACATTTCTTGTTTATTGGATTTTGGCGCATTCTTCATCTTGAGTATAAACTTGAATGCAAAGGTTCTGCATGCCCATTATAGTATTTCCTTATTAATTTTGGATGACGATTTTCACACATCATTCAGTCCCATTTACATTCCCTCTTATTTTTGTGCTTTGGTAACCACGTAAACAAAAGGAGAATCAAAGCATGAAAACAAATCTTTTTAAGTGATGACCTGCTGACACTAGATACAAATTTTTCTGGTTCTAGGAGGAAAAGCAGACACGAAATGGTGGAACTTCAAGAAGAAAAGTTCAGCTGACACAGACGACGATGGGAGCAGTTCCGATAGCAGTTCTGAAGAGGATTCGCCACGACCACTTTCATATAGAACTCCTTTTCTCACTCAGGCATGTTATAAGATTCTATACACCTAAGGAAATATACCAAATCACGCTAACCGGTTAATGTAGCTGATGTGTTCCTTTGCCTTCTTCCCTGGCAGGGTATTGGCAGGCTCTTCAGGTGCCTTTGCAATCCAGCATTTGATGTTGATGACGAAGAGATGTTTACAAAAGCAAATGATATGCAATGCATGAGATTATATGTAAAAGAAGGAAAAGTTGACAAGCGTACGTGAGATGGCAAGCATATATATAAGTTATAACAGAGGGTGAAAGCTGTCGTGCTAAATGGAGGATTTTGTTATATTCATGCTAGAGAATGGCGCAAGCCTGTGTCGTGTGTCAAAATGTATTTATTCATTGCCCTCATTATTGTGGAACAGTTCCATTTTCAAATATGTTCAATTTTTACAGTGATATATATGTAATCGCAATAACGAAGCTTTCTCTTCAGTTTCAGACTCTCTTTAGAGTCTTCCGCTTGGACGAGGGCGAATATATCTTGTAAACAGATGTGAGAAATATAAGCATGATTATCACTTCCTCAGTTTAGTGTTTTCTAGAAACACTCTGCACGTCTGTTTCTGTTTTGTTACAATTAGATTTCTGAATGGATTGCGATTTGTCTAATTATATTTTTATTTATTACGATTATATTTCTGAATGGATTCCTACTTACTTGCAAAGATGCTGTTTTCATTTAAATACAATACCAAGTAGACTTCATCTCCCCATCAATCTCCTATTATTGACTTGACTATATATATTATTGATTGAGATTTTCAATTTCATAAACAAATTAACCCGAGAGAGATGAAGATTGAGAGTCTCTTCGGTTGCTTCAAAGGAGGCAAGAGAGAGCAAAACAAAGAGTACGGAAGCCAAAGGACCGGTTGCTGCAATAATATGGGGTGGCAGACACTGCCTGACGATATCATGGAGATTATTTTAAAGCACTTGAATTTAAGAGAGCGTATACGCTTAACAATCATCTGCAAGTCTTGGAACTCTCTTGCTATGCGAAGAGACTTTTCTAATGCTCCACAACTACCTTGGTTACTGCTCCCTCAGGCCTCCATAAGTACTTGAGTTTTTCCAGTGTCTCAGATGTCAAGTTTCACACATTGAGGCTACCTAAGCCGGTTCGAGGAGGGCGGGTTTGTGGTTGTTCTAAAGGATGGTTGGTTATGATCAAAGAAAAAGTGTTAAACTCCAAACTGTATCTCGTAAACCCAATTTCAAGAGACCAACACCAACTTCCATCTTTGAGAACAATTCCATCTTTCCATAAGTTCGTAAACACAAACAAGTCGAAACGTGGCGGTGCATTGCTTTTCTGTAATTCATTCGCGTTATCTATGTCGGATGTTAAATCAAACAACTGTATTGTTGCAGCAGTTTTTGATGAGTTGACGTTGGGTTTATGCAGACCTGGAGACAAAACATGGAGTGTCTTCCATGTATTAGATGAAAACGAATATCTTGATAAAATATTGTTTTCTTCTTCCGGTATGCTATACGCCTTGGTTTCTTCGGGTAGTGTTAGTAAGAATGGCATCGTTGTTGCGTCTCACAGCTTAAACTTTGGAGATGATACAGTGAAAATTAAATTGGTCTATGACACAAGAGAAAGCCTAAGGGATTTAAATCCCAAGCATTGAGTATCGTGATGACTTCCAGATCTTGTTGAAAGGAATGTACGCCTCTCATTTGTTACCATCAGCAACAAATAATGAAGTCTTCGTGATCCATCAAATACTAGATTCCTTTTTAAGAAGGGATGGTGATGTCGAGGAGGAGGACGAGAATGAGGAGGAAGGGACTGATGACGAGGACGAGGACGAGGAAGAGATTGATGATGAGGAAGGGGACTGATGATGAGGATGAGGATGAGGACGAGGATGAGAAGAGATTGATGATGAGGAAACTGATGATGAGGATGATGAGGACGAGGACGAGGAAGAGATTGATGATGAGGATGATGAGGACGAGGAAGAGATTGATGATGAGGAAGAGACTGATGATGAGGATGAGACTGATGATGAGGATGAGGAAGAGGAGGAAGATGACAATAACGATGATCAAGATGAAGGAGTTAATAATGGTGAATTTCACCACGTCGATATTGCTTCTGAAGATGCATCTGGCTCTAAACCATATTTGAGGACAAGTGAATTTAGAGTATACAAGGTTGACCAAGAGAATGACAACTTGGATAGGGTACAATGTTTGGGGGACGACCAACTATTCTTTTGCTCTGATGCTGAATGCGTGTCCCTGCATCCAGCTAGTAATATCCAAGGATTTGACGGAAATTGCATTTATTTTGCAACAAACAACATATGGAGGTTACATTCTTTAGAAACATATCATCTCGTGAGATTGGTGTATTCTACCTAGATTCTAGGAGAATTGAGCGACCCTTTCCAGTGTTAATTTGTCACTACTGACCAAACTCACTTGGTTAACTCCAAGTTTATAGTAGTTTGGTAAACATGCACATTCGAAATTGTTACTTAACAAGTCCTGTTCTTTTTATCTATTTTTTTTTCGTAACCTAATGAATTCAAAATCCATAGAATTTTGGTTTTATCAATTACCCAGTGTGGTTGGGACAACAAGGATTTTCTTTTTCATTTTCTTTTTAAAATACATACTAACATTCATTTACACCTAATTAATCTCCTCTCCTTTCTTGAAACTAGGGCTATATGTTTATCTTATTAGAAAGTTGATATAGATCCAAATTCCCATCGAGGAGTTGGGTTTAATCCTCTAATTTGGTGACTTTGATTCAAGTCCTTTGACTTTTGTGCCACATAGGATTACATTCCTTTTTAATATTGTCTGATGGAGAAATTAGCCACATAGGAAATGTAATCCTATGTGATAAACATAGGAAATTAGCCACATAGGAAATTAGCCACATAGGGCTATATGGAGAAATTAGCCACTTTGATTCAAGTCCTTTGACTTTTGTGCCACATAGGATTACATTCCTTTTTTACATTCCTTTTGTGCCACATAGGATTACATTCCCTTTTTTAATATTGCCACATAGATCTTTTTATTTTATATTTTTAAAATCATTTTTTGGTTCCAATATTGCCCATTATCTTAGATTACTTACCTTAATGAGATAATTAGCCAATATTATATTTCTTTCCTTATCCAATTTACCCCTTGAGCACATAAAACGTAAGGAATAGGAAGTTATTAATTGCAGGAAATTTTTATGGTGGTTTTATAATAAATTACTAAATTTATGGTAAGTAAAGCACCTAATTAGGAAGACTTTTTTTTTTTTTTTAAATGTTGTACATTGACATAAGAAAGAAATAATGGAGTGAGTTTAGTGCTCAAAGGAAGCCAAACATAAAATAGATGAGAAAATAATGGAGATTCAGAGTTGGGGGTTCATCCCAAGGCACAAATGACCCGCTGAAGCATGGACTAATATCCATTTGCTATGCAGTCATAGTATTGACTTTTTCTTCTTCTTCTGCTGCTTCTTCTTTTATTATTATATATTATTATTTTATGTTGAATATATGCTCAACTTTGAATCAGGTTCAGTCATTTTGTTCTCTATAGTTTTTCTTTTATGTATAGTATACCTGAGATATAGGTAATACATTTTTTGATATATATATATATATATATAGGGGGCGGATCTGTGGCACCATGTTTTTGACACAAGTTTTGACACAAATTTTGAACCATTAGATTTAGCACTATTAATGGCTCAAATTAAATCTCACAACAATTTATTATTATCTCTAAAATAATACATTATCTCTAAATATATGGTGCAACGGATCCGCCCCCCTATATATGTATGGTGTTTGGTCACTATTCATATATAGTAATATATATGGCCCTCGGAATTATCACCACGTCAAATGCTATATTTGATCCTGTTATATTGGTTTGGTCATTTAATTTTCACAATTGAATTGTTTATTAATGATTTTGGGGTGGTTTACAATTTCAATTCTCGTCTGTATTCACTGCTAAACAGAGTATATAAAATTACTAAACAAAACCCTTGTCTTATTTCTTTTGTTTTTCCTCACAAGGATAAACAATTGTAAAACATCCTAGATAAAGTATACATAGAGCCATAACTAGCGCACACGTGCATGAAATAAATTACAAGAAGGAAACATCTATGGAGAAACTTTCTAAATAGAAGACACTTGAAAAGTGAAATGTGCATAGAAAGAAGCACATTTGTAGCCAAAGGGTCAAGAGCAAGCAATTCACCACATGTCATCATATGTACCGGCTTCGACAAATGCAGCATCTGAGTTGAGAGGAAATAAGAAACTTGTTTCATTCTTGGACGAGATTTTGGGCTGGAATTCGAGCATGCAAATGCTATCTTCACAAGAGAGACCACTTCGCTTGCAAGTTGATGCGTAGGAGGGGAAATGCGTTGGTCCAAAACATCCAGAATTGGTATTTGATGGGCTGGTAATGCAGATGATGATGATGAGGAGGAGGATGAAGAGACTGATGAGAAAGATGAGAAAAGATCTCCAGGATGTTTTCCCATAATTATTTCCAATGTCAGCACACCAAAGCTATAAACATCACAGTTCTCATTCACTTCCATTGTATAAGCAGCTCTGCTAAGAGAAAACCTCAGAGAAGTGGCATTATTAGTTTATAGACATAACTATTCAATGGAATTTTAACGAAACTGTATCATGCATAAATCGACTTATTATTTATAGCTTAAGAGAAGTGAAAATGTGTTTATTAGTATTGGTCTAAAAGCAAAAGCATAAAAAGTGCTAAATACAGAGAATAAAGAATCACAATATTACCTGGTGCCATATAGCCATGTGTGCCTGCAGCCACAGTCCAATTAGTTGAGTCTGGATTTAAAAACTTAGCTGTGCCAAAGTCTGAAACACAGGCCTCATATCCAGAATCCAACAAAATGTTCTTGCTTGAGATGTCACGATGTACAATCGCGGCAAGCAATCGTGGTGCATGTAAGACAAGGCATGAGCTATGCCTTTAACAATATTCACCCTTTTACTCCACCCCAACTCTTTAGCTTCTTCATCTTTGCTCAACATTGCGGCCAAGCTACCTCTTTCAAGATACTCATACACCAAAAATGAGTGTTGTTTATGTGCGCAGAAACCATAGAGCTTCATAATATTTCGATGTCTTATCTCACTGAGTGCCCTTACTTCATTCATGAACTCCTTTTCAAATTCTGTCTCGCCATCCCATAGTAGATGGAGTTTCTTCACAGCCACTACATCTCCAGATGACAAATTCACTCTGTAGACGCTTCCATGTCCTCCCTTCCCAATGTATATGTGGAATCAAAATCTTCTGTTGCCCTCATGATTTCCTCATACATTGATTTTCCATCAAAATTTAAAACCGAAAAGGAAATTTCTCCATGCATGTGGTTTTGTTTAGTATCTTGATGCTTCTTCTTTCTTCGCACTATTACAAAGACAACTGTAAAGAAAGCATATACAAGTACAAATACCGCTAGAAGAGAGAATATAACTTGTGGTGGTTTTTTGAGCCATGTGCATTGCAGGGTGTCAGCAGAGCTCCAACTTTGCCACACATTCCTTTGTTCCCTTTCAATCCTTCTGGGGGAGCTTCTCGAAATGCACTGATGTTGGGAAGGGGACCTTCCAAGTGATTGTAGGATATGTCAACATATGACAAGCCGTGCATCTCTTCAAAACTTGATGGTATGGAACCTGATAGATTGTTGTGAGAAAGATTGAGCGTCACCAAACTCTTCATATTGCTCATTGCTGATGGTATGCTACCTTCAAGTGAGTTATGACTTAAATCCAATTCGTTTAATTGAACTAACTTCCCCAACTAAAAAGGAATTGCTTGAGATAACTTGTTGTTGCTCAAATTCGGATGGTATAATTTGAGCAAGTCACCTAGAATGCTGGGAATTGAGTCACTGAATTTATTTGTTGACAAGTCAAGATAATCAAGATTAGTCAATGATCCGAATTCAAAGGGTATATGACCCGAAAGTTGATTTCCATTCAACTTCAACCTCTCCAAAGAAGTCAGTCTCCCGAATCCCATGGAATCAACCCAACTAAATGATTCAAAGAGAGATCTAGTGCATGAATTTGGGTTGCATTGCCTATCTCAGGTAGGATGCTACCAGTAAGGTTGTTTCCTGCCATTTGTAGGCTTGTCAACTTTGGGCATTGTCCCCAGTTGTGTGAAATTTCTCCATACAAGTTGTTGTGGCTTATATTCATAAAATCAAGATTCGGATAAACACCGAAGTCTTCAGATATATTGCCCGTCAATTGGTTTTGCTCAAGATGGACTCTGAATAAGCTTGTGCAATTTTTCAAGCTTTTGGGGATTGGACCAGTCAAATAGTTTGTGCTTGCTGAAAGGTTTATGAGCTTTCCACCTTGGCAGATATTTGAGGGCAAATAACCAGACAATTGGTTTGTATCCAAACCCAGGTAAGTCAAATTCTTGAGATTCTCTAACTCTTGGGGAATGGAGCCGGAGAGTTGGTTATCCCGTAGATGTAAGATTTCCAAGTTGCTCAGGTTACCAAATGAAGCGGGAATTGAACCATGAGTTGATTGTTGCCCAACGCTAGATTTACAAGAGATTTCAAGTTCCCTATCTCCTTGGGAATCAAACCAGAAAGTTGATTGTCATTCAAGAGCAAAGTGTTTAGCTTTATTAAGTTACCAATATTTGGAGGGATGAGACCACTTAAATTGTTGTCGGACAACTTTAGATCTACAAGAGATTTCAAGTTCCCTATCTCTTTTGGAATCAAACCAGAAAGTTGATTGTCATTCAAGTACAAAGTGTTTAGCTTTATTAAGTTACCAATATTTGGAGGGATGAGACCACTTAAATTGTTGTGAGACAACTCTAGATCTACAAGAGATTTCAAGTTCCCTATCTCTTTGGAATCAAACCAGAAAGTTGATTGTCATTCAAGTACAAAGTGTTTAGCTTTATTAAGTTACCAATATTTGGAGGGATGAGACCACTTAAATTGTTGTAAGATAACCTTAGATCTACAAGAGATTTCAAGCTCCATATCTCCTTGGGAATCAAACCAAAAAGTTGATTGGAATACAAGTACAAGTTGTTGTAAGATAACCTTATATATATATATATATATATATATATATATATCTAAATATAGGTAACATATTCCTTTAACCAAAAAAAAAAGTTATTAATTGACTTGTGTTTTTACATACATGAGATATAGGTACCACACTTTTTTGCCTTTTTTGCTTATGAATCTAAGTTATAGGTAACATACGCTTTACCACTTATCTTTTTTATGTACTGGACATATAGGTAGCATATACTGTCCGACTTATGTTTTATGCACCTAAGTTATA